CAAGATGATTTTTATATTGCCTAAACTAGGATTCACTCGTATAGATACAAGTGAAGATTTTTTCGGCGTAGCTTATACACAACTCTTGTCAGTTATAGTTCTGTATCTACAGTTCTCTTCGGTTCAGTACCGAACATTTAGGTATCGTACCTTGCCGGGTCATCTTTGCCGCTTTTGAAGTTTGAACCTTCTTAAAACTGATGGCTTTACAGTATATACCGCGCATATGATTCGTTGAATGCGATCTTATCCCGTAGTTTAGCATAATCATATATTGATTATTTATACATAATATTCACTTTATTACGGTCGACACACTAGCTGTATATATTGCCTTCTTTGTTGCAGGAAGTTATCTTTTTAGGCTTTTTAGGCTTTTAGCTTCAGGTATATATACTAAATACCGATCTTTTCGATTTTAAATTAAATCATATCATATTGCCTCACCTTGCATGCACACATTGTTAGTATCTTGCACTCATTACTTACTTGCAACCAGACCCGTAAGAATAATTACAAACTGATGACAGTTTCTTATGAGGTAATTTCCGGACTTAATTGTGCGCAATTAGGGGGCACAAGTGGAATTTTTTCTATGCTGGCCTGGTTATATTTGTTTAGTATATACCAGCGCGAATAAACGCACATTATCACACCATAAATCATTATGGAGACTAAATATACTTTTGCAAACTCGTCAACTTGGACTTGGACTTGGTCCAAAATCTATGACTGAAAAACATTTTCATTTTAAAAAAAAATCAGTTACGTGCATGGTAATTAATTTAATAAAAAGTTAGCTTGGTTTCCTTTTTAATCTTATTTAAAACGGTGACCGTATAGAACGGAAAACATCTGCCATCTAGCGGGGGAAAACATCAAATTACGTGTTGTCAAAGAAGGAGAAGAACCGCAGTTTTAAAATCTCAAAATTTAGGTAAGATAAGTCCTGTATGGAACAAAACAACTCAAGCACATCATTGCTCTCCGTGATCTACCAAGAGCTACACGCTGCCACAATTGTGCTAAATTCGTGCTGAAAAACTCATGCCTGCATGTATCACTGATGCTGCCGGCCGCTTTACTCAGTTTTTTACGCTAAAAGTGCGGCTCATATATTGCAGCTGCTTGTAAAATGGTGACGCTGCCATTAAAGGAGTTAATTTTCCTTTCACCGCATGAGGAATTTTTCTGTTTGCATCGACGATTTTCTGCGTCGTAAATCGTGAACTCAAATCGTCGGGATATATGCACTACGACATATTATTTATTCATTTTATTACGGACATTGTACATTTGTACACTTCCTTAAGCGGGATCATATAAACCGCCCTAAAACGTGGATTCAATTAATGATGCGAGATTGAGTGTATGATAATAATTCGACAGCAGAGCTCGTTATTTTGCCGTTAATAACTCTGCATGGTATTCTGTATTTCTACGAAGATTGCTGAAGAAAGCATACTAAAGCCTACTACGTCACAAGGCCTACTCGGACTCGGTCGCGTCGAATTCGAACAATCGAGATGATAAACCTCATTTAGCCTCATTATCTATTGTTTAAATTGCATTCGCCGCGACTAAAGTGCGACGTATAAACTAGTTAATCGTGCTTTGTGAGCGGTTAAGCACACAACATATGCTTTTACCGAGCTTAATAGTGAATTCTTTCAGTGCGCAACGATTGCCGTTATTAAACCCAGTCAGGTTAAAAGAGTTGGTAGATATGCAAATATTTCAGGCCAAATTGTCATGATCTATTAAGAAAACAAAGAAAACAAAAGACCAAGAAAAAGAAAACAAAGAACTAGTGTGATGCTGTTTGCGCTCATATATGCAGCTTCCAACCCTGTACTAACTATGCATAGAGCATTATATAAAATAGGTGGGAACACAATGCTGCCCATGCAGTGACTTACTTGGCAGGGTAAACTCGACCTAGCCAACGACTTCTTTAAAAACCAGCTTGTGGAATGATACTTTGTATTTTGTAGTAATTTCCGGTTTTTAAGCTATTGTGTTTAGAGTAATAGCAAATATATATCAAAATGTGGCAATTATAGTTACAAGGTTTCTAATTATAAAAACGACAATGCGAATTTGCGAGGGAAAAAATTACAGGATAACGTGGTATGTCGAAAAATTTGAACCAAGCATTGTATGTGGTATATTGGCAGATACTTTATTCATGTGTCAGAAGTCTGATTGATTACTTAGTCTCAGTGTACACACTGTATCAATGGCTTCTGACGTGAATGCTAATGCTCGATACTTCCATATATCTGAGTTGTCTAAAAGGTGATGAAGAAGTGATTTCTTCATTGTCGATTCAAATGAGAACGCGTGACCTTTATTAGACATTTCAATTATTACTTATTAGACATTTCTGCCATCTGTAAAAGTTTTGTTTTATGGCCTTTATATATACACATATACCATTAACACATTAGAGTGAAATAAGACTCCCATCACTCCAATCTTCCAGCAGCCACATACTTGACCTCGTGTTTAAAGAGTCGGCTTCTTATGAACAAACCAATTAATTTAATGAATTGGAGCAATAAATCGTCAATTTCCAGTGTCTAGTCTGACTTTTAGACTTAGATAAATATACAACAAATCTCAGAAGCTAGGAGACTAATCGGCGAATTGACTAGAAAAATGGTGTTGTGTTTTTTCTGATATAATTGGTTTTCCATGTGGAAAGGAATTAAGTGTATGAAAGTGGTCTCTCATTATATAGTATCGAATTTTGCTCGAGTGAAACAGGAAAAATATGTTTTATATATGTCATTAACATATGTACTTCACATGCCAATGTAAAGTTTATTGCCAACCTTTCTAGAAAAGAGTTACATCATGAGTTACATCATATGAGCACTTGAAATTGTACAACAAACACATCTTAAAATTATATAAAGTCAGCAATGTTCTTAGCAAGAATATATTTTATTTCCCCTTTGGAGAATTTAGATAAGTAATAATCTTGGGTTTCATAAAAAGTCAACTTTTAAAGTATGTTTATATGTATTGCTAGTTACTAAGGCTAGTTTTTTTCAAATCGCGTACGTGATTGCTCGACTTGAGCATGAAACTGGTATGTTAAAAAAGCATTTCTTGAATGTACAGTAGAATCGGATACAAATTGGAAACGTGCATGGCATATATTTTATGAAACGCAAATCAAAAATACATAAACAATGAGTAACGTTACACAAAATCGCTTGATATAAGTATAATATCGTGATAAACGAACTTGCATGCTGCGATATATAGGAGTCTTTTTGCGCGCCACAATATGCAGGACAATTTTATGTAGCTACATTTTTTGTACGGACTCTAATCTAAGATCTAATTTTTTCTAAATGCGCATAAGAATATTATAGGCCTAGTTCCCGTTGTTCTCTTATATAACAGTTGGGTATTTAGAAGGGCTGACTCTATATCTAACACGCTACCAAAATGCTCTAATGCATTTTATGAGGTTGTCAAATCACTTATCACATGCATGCACTATAAAGGTTTTGGAATGTGATCCAGTATTACATAACTGCGAGTAAAATAATAAACTTGTTTGCCGAATGAAGCAAAAAATGTCGATGAATTGTATCTTAATTCCATTCTTCCGAGATTTGTGAGGCAAGATTTGTAGCGGTTGGGAGGAACGTATCCCCGTTGAAACATATAGCAATGTACTGGTCATTGTGCTATATGATTTGTGTTATACATACCAACAAACGGGCACACTTAAAATCCATGTCGTGAATTCAACTGCATGGCAATTGTGTTATTTTAAACAAAATTTAAACAAAACACCAACTTGGAGTCAAATTCAGTCCACCATTGGGAGTTAAATTAGCACCTTAAAAAAAAACTGTGTTGGTTGGTTATGTAGTTATTTGTTTACACAGGATGTACTAAATTTCCCGGGGGTACATGCATGTCGGTTGGCCGTTGGTGACTATATATGCTGTTAAGTTGTGAATAGAATTGTACATATTCTGTACATGGTATATGGTGAAGGGGTTTGTGAAATCATAAGTTTGTCACGTTTGGATATTGTTTATGACAGATTTTTCAAACTTCAGTAACAGTCAACTTTTACGTTCATTTAAAAACCCATATGCACTATTGTTTCTTAGAAGAAGTAATTACTTTGACCCCCTGTCCGATTTGATGCGTCCTAATTGACCCGCTGAGGTCACGCGTCTGGTGGCGATTTTATTTCAAGTAATCCTATATATATATATATATATATATATATATATATATATATATATATATATATATATATATATATATATATATATATATACATGTATAGGTATTTCTATTAGATAAATCGTTATGTACGTTAGGGGTAAATTATTGTTATATAACTGAATGTGTAGTAATTGAAGATTGGCATTAAGACAAAGAAGAGAAAATTCTTTTCCCGAAGGTCGTCCGAAATCAAAGAAACTACATGACATTCACCTCGCAAACAGCGAGCATTACAATAACAAACGTGGTACAAAATATTCATTAAATATATTCGCTCTACACAGTTTTATAACTAGTGCCAGTAGTGCTCGGCATAGCAATACAATTCGACGACTATCGACTAATTAATATAATTATACATGTACACACAATTTGACTTATCTTTGTACCTCTGTTATTTTTAGTTCATATATAAATACAGTAAAAGCAATTATCAATAAAACATTCATCACAGCATAAGGACTAGTTTACGTGAAAAACTACCTGCGTGTGTCAAGATTGATAGAGATTCAAAATCCTTTAGTAAAAATGTAACGTATTGGGTCTCGCTGTCATTGATAGAATTCGTCAGTCATCAGCTTAGGACACAGCTAATGCTCTGGAACTTCCTGTGAGAATATTTAAGTGAACACAAAGGCCACTTGTGTCCACCATTTTTGGCTTTACGTATCGTGCTCTCGGACGCACAAATAACATCAGAGGAACAAAAAGATTTTTCTCCAACAGTATTTTACTAGTGGAGAACAGCTTTGATAAACGTTGCTCTAGCAGAGCTTTGGACTTCCAAATAAGGTCGTAGCAGTCAGAAAACACTGGTAAGTGAAACGTTTAAATAAAAAAATTAAATCATTGCGCGTTCTCACTCAAGTTGAAGTAACAACTTTTTGAGCAATGGCTTTTTCGCCATATTGATATTGTATAATAATCCTAACCGTTCTTTTAATCAGTCGTGTAAATACAAGATTGCTAAGATTCACGCTAAATCTGTCTCCTATTTTCTTTATACAACATATACCCAGAACGCTATTTGTGGCATCTTCTTTTTTTATTCGTTTGAATACAAGTCCCACGGCGCCTATGCTAATTATTTAGAATTCACTGATCGCGATGTGTGGGAATACACAGATTCTTTCAACAAAGTTTTTAAGCTTATAGCTTGTTTTCCTAATTTTGTCTCTATTTTCATTGATAAGTTAATTATATACATCTGGAGATATGCAAAGAATTCTTAATTTTGACAGCTATCAGCAATAGCAATCGAGTGGATCTTTTCAAGAGAGATATTTTATATTACTTCTTTTCAATCACATTTATTTATTTAATTTTCGTCATTCGTTCAGTCCATATGAAATTAAGAACAATGAACAAATGTTGAACATTTTGAAATTGCGAAACATTACATTGCATCGAACATATACAATGTGTATGTCACTAGCTAGAAACATCACCTATAGCTGAAATATAGTGTTAAAAGATAAATTATGAGATATATGAGTTCCCTTTTACTTTACATTCCATTTGCGGTCAGACGTGAATCTGGGTCCTCAAACCACTCAAGAAGTAATTTCATCACTGAAGTAAAATTATCGAAACGACAGCAATAATACTCTTCCAACGAGTGAAATCCGAGAGAGAACCGGACTTATATAAAATCTGTCTTTTCCTGACAACAGAAAGGTTATAGGTAACCCGTTTCCGGGTTACTGGTGGGGCTTTTTTTTCAACGCTATTAATATGCACGCGAGCAACAGAAATATTCTTCGAATGAAATAACGTCCTCAATACCCGTAACCCGTAACCCAGGTATCACTAAGTACCTATCACGAATAATTCGAATAACGAAGTGAAAGTAAATATGACACAGCCTTCTGACGACAATTGAATTATATATCAATATATTGAATGTACCATGTCCATGCCATTGAAAAAACCCTTCTAGATCTGGATTATTTTTGATAAACAATAATAACATATCAATATACGTCGATCAGTTTGATAAGCAATAATAATTTTTATAATAAGAATATGGTATTTACCCTCAAATGTGTTAAATTGTTTGCCTTATACGCAAACGCGCAGTAAATTGGATTGGCGTTATTGCTGTATTAAATTTCTTGTGACGAAAATACCTCAACATGGAGTAAATCAATCACATGCGTTTCGAAACGATTGTAACGATTTTGTGATAGGAAAATAATAAATCAGTGAATAATTATCTTGGAATCGTCACGGGCACGCTATGTGACATCAGTACTGAGCACCACATGATCTTCATGGTCGCAGCAAGTTTGAACGTACAATATAAATGATATAATGTATTATTTAACGATCACGACTGGTTTATTATAATAATAAACATTGTGTATCGATTGTAGGTTTTTTGAAACAGGTGCTAATTTGGATAAAAGTTATGCGCTTCTCAATACATCACAATTTTTTGAGGAAAGCTATCCAACTTTCTATCATTAAAAACACATTTATCCTGTGATTTATCACAGATGGATTGAAGGTGATCCTTTAATTGTGCCGCGTGCGAAAATTAAGCATGCATGTCGTGCTTGCATTGAAGTGTTACAGATTATATTTGGTCATGCGATCAATAAAAGGAAAGGGCTTGTCCTTCCGAGGTTTTAATGACAGAACAAAAATGGTTAAGTCCGATTATTTGAGATAGCAATTTGAATGTTTCTCAAGTTTTTTTTATAAGACGTCATTAGTTCAACGTAACATTTTTGCCAGAATAATTCTGAAATTAAACGGTCATAACAGCTAGTGGACATCCGTCATAAACCGTCACCTGTATTTGTGATAACCAATTCATTTGTGTGCTTAGTGAAGTTCAATCACGGCCAGCACAGGCGACTTGTTCAACACACGCACAATTCAACAGCTGCATGCATTAGGGCCTAATAACAATCGCGTATCTCTTTTCTCACTTTGGTAATACAGTGAGACATGCATGCAACATAATAGCCAATGATAAATTCTAGAGGTTCAAAGGGTCTTAATTTTCGAATGGAATTGTATACACACTTCCAATTCAAGCCAGGAACAGTTGATGGAAAAATGAGTCAACCGATCGGTCCTCTGGCAGGAATCGAACCTACGCTTTTTGCGATGCCGATGCAATGCTCTTGCCAATGATAGAATTTCTGCCTTTTATGGGAACTTATTTCAGTTTTCCCTTGTACCCTTTACTAACAATGACAGTGAATATACTTGAAACAGAATAATATGTTTATATAAAGATATATATGCTGTATATATACTGATAACCATGTCCCCATAAGATTCGGGGAACGGATTAGTATACAAATGAATAACGATATTATAACGCATGGCCAAGATTAGAATATTAGTTGCAGACATGCCATTGCGATTTGAGTGCGCTGTTATTAATTTGTCTGCGCTAACCACAAAAAAACATTTGTCCGTCATGAATTTTATCAATACCTAAAATAGCGCCAAGAGTTAGAAACGTCAGATGCGCTCATGCATGCACTAGATTATGAACAAATCAAATCAATAAAACTGCTTTTGATAAAAGGATCAGAAAAAGAATTAAACAATTATGTTTTGAACTATTACGATGACGACGATTACTCAGTTAACTGAGGGCCGAGATAAGTAACCGTTATCCTTGAGATGGCGCCACAGAGACGCTAAAAAATATGCAGCTTGTGACCTCAGCAGTCCTGCTAATTCCGCAAGTGGGATTTGATCTTGGTTCTAAATTTACGTTGTTTTTATACTATATAGAATTTATATTATCTCCTCATGAGATGCCATGCAGCCTCCTTGCATGATTTCGTCCCTCACTAACGCCAAGTGAAAATAGTCGCCGCCTAAATAAGTCTTGTAAATAAGACGTAAGTCTCAAATGACTCGTATAAACAGTCAGTTTTCATGCAATAATCCACGATTATTTAGGCCTGGCGTTAAACCCTGCATGTATGGGCTTATCTTAGCCGCGCTTACAGATGATTCAAGTCGTTCGTGACTTACGTTGATAATCCGATTATCAATCGTATTTTGAGTATGTAAAACTTACTGGGCGTTGAGCGGATTTGCCATACCGTGTCTGTGCGGTAAAATGAGGCAATCTCAAGGCCATCTTCTTTTCCTAAGTGGGGAGAGAGGGACAATTTGTTCCGGAATAAGGGTAGGCGGAGAACCACAGTGACGTTATGGTGCAATAGGTAAAATTGGTTATAGAAAGAAGACAAAGGCTCCGTCATGCGCACATCAAGAAAGGGCTCCTCATTTGATTTTTGTCTCCCCGCAAAATGGGATGTTCTTGGGTGGCTCAGGTGGCTCTGTAGGTTTGAACAACTACCAACCACCCTTAGAGGGTCAAATCCCCGAGTCATTCTTCTTACAGTATGTTTCTTAAAATAATGAAGGTCTAATAGGATAAAACGAGTTTTGGGACCATGTTAATTTAAAACAAGAAGGAAAAACACGAGATAAAATTTTGAAAAACCAAGAAGGAAAAAAACCAAAGATAAAATTTTGGGAGCGTCTATTTCCGGTTTAAAATTTTTCACCCTTGACATCCGCAAAAAGGTAATGTGGTATTTGACATCCACAAAAATTAGGTAAGCGGCTAACAAAACCGACGCCCAAATTCGTCAAAGCTAAGTCACGCTCAGTCTGACTCACTTCGATGGTATAGAGCTCAATTCCTCTTTATTTCCTGACAATATTAGCTACTACTTGCCCAAGCCCCGAGGGCATGGTTGTAAATGTTTTACCATGTATTAATTGAAAAAGCACGCTTTCAAATTCTGTGTCAACGCTCAATAAGATTTAATTGTATCAAAAATTGCGCGTGTGGATTGATTAAATGAATGACCAACGACTAACTGGCAACAGGAAACCCGCCCAAGGATAGCTGGTATATATTTAAATGCCATTTGCAACATCAGCGAATTAAGGGCCCTCGTTTGTCACTTGTCATTGAGAAAATTATCCATTTCATCAAAAAAAATTTTCTGTTTTTCTCCTTCCAGCTCCAGGAAATGACTGAAAGTCTTTGCACCCTTTATAAATGCTTTTCAGTTGTTTTATTTAATCTCTGCATTGGACGTGGTCTCTCTCAAACAGCTTACTATTTTTATAGATTTATTTTTTTTATAGAATTATTATAATTTTTAATTTCCGAATTTTTGTGTGTGTTGCTTAGTTTTCGTTGTATTTCTTCGTCTCCCCTGCATATGGCAATTAATGCCGAAGTTTCCTTTTTTCTGACCATGTTTCTCCGCGTTTCGCCATTTATATTTTCTGAGCAAGTCAACTAAATGCCTGAGCCTGCCATGACTGCATGATTCACGCTCTGAAACCAAGATCACCTCTTGAGGTGGTCTACTTTAATTCGGTTCGAATCCGCTTCGCTTGCGACTGTTCACACTTACCTCATTCGGACTCGAATCGATTCCGAATCGATTTAAAAAACGTTAGTGTGAACCCAAACAGTGTGAACCGTTCGCGTTAGTGTGGGCCCTAAGGCGCAAAGGACGCACAATCGTATCGCCTGAGGTCTTTATTATGCTCAATTTACAGCTGGTTGTCAGAATGTCAGAAATACATGGGACCTAAAGGTGATAACAGAATTTTAACATTAGGGTTTAATAATTCGCTATTCGACGGATATTGCTATAGCTCTTGAATAGGTGTCCCCTGACTTAGACATTCCTTACACCCATAAACAGCTCACGCCACACTTACATCAGTTATCTTCTGACGAGACCGTTTCGGATGATCTATAGAGGAATTCGGGTCGAAGAAATTTTAAAAGATTTCGCCCCCAACCCTCGCTCCCAGGTTGAGAGATTCTCAGGGGAACTTGTAAGATAGCATTGCTATTAGAAGGCTTGTCGGGCAATACAAAGTCAAAGGCCTTCTATGTCAAGTATAATTGCCCCATATTTCTCTCAAATGCAATATCTACATGCATGTCAGTTATACGCTAAGCAAATTAATTCTAATAAGTTGAGTTAGAAACCTGAGAGTCAGACGCCCCATTCCCGCAGGACAGCTGAAAAAGCAACTTCTTTTGGTCAAGTCTTTAGGTAGCTGTTGATAAATAAAATTTTAAACCTTTGTTTGAATATTTCTTCAATAATTTTCAGCTACGCCAAAAAAACACATTTTCCAGACTCTGAACCAGGGCGTCGATCAACAAGGATTACCGGTCTTGATTGGCAGAAAGGGCTATTAGTATTAAAATACCGCAAATATGGTGTTAACTTATCATCAAAACATACTAATTGCTCCATATTAGATTAATTAACTTATCTAGCCTCCTAATTTTGCACTGCAGTTGTTTATGCATAAAAGCGTCTTTACTTTCTAATCAGGAAATTCTGTGCGCCATTCTGGTTATTGTCTTGGATAACTCCTTAATGTAGCTAACACACAAAGTTCTCTTCGCTTTACTGTTGTCAGTCGATCATTGCATTCCTCAAATTACAAAGTGAAATACGATAAATGTTTTGGTTGCATGGAAACAATTATTAATGGCATCATAAAGAAATGAAATTGTTTAAATAATTGCCTATAGATAACTATAAAACAAAAGATTAATCGATATTCCATTTTTACTTTCTAAATTGTAATAAATTATGTATAATATATTTGTATATCATTATACATAATAAACTAGGAAGTTACGTTTCTTTCGAGAAACGTAACCGCATGCCTAGCAATAGAGCGTTGTGAGGGGGGCGGGTAGGGTGGTGTTGGTGAAACCCTATAGTTTAATTAGTCAAAAAGTCGGTCCAAAAACCTGCCGTTTGTGACAAAAAAAAATCCGCTTAAGTCCGAAATAATTTGTTATTTTGTGCCGCGCTTTTGACGTGAGTAATGCATTATGAAACGTGACATTTGTACTATTAATAACTTCAAAATACAATTGCATATAGTTCCGCTTTCGTGCTTCAGAAATTCAGTTTTTATAAGGTTTCAAAGTGTATTTTCGAGCCGGGAAAAATTCGAGTTTGCGCTAACTTATATACCCTGTACAACCAGGCTCCCTTTGCACTATCGTCCGTCGAGCATTTTGCGAACATACTAAATTTAAAAATTCGTTTTATTCATTGCTTTACAGCTGAATAAATCAACATGAAGATTCTAGGCCTTCTTCTGTTGGCCGTTTTGGTGAGATCTCGTAAGTTCCACTATTCAATATATTACTATGTGCTAGTGCTTAGCTTATGCATGGTTGGTTTGTTGTTAAGAATTTAACGTTTTCATAATTTATATTTCGAAACTGCTCTGTATCTGAATAATCTTGGTAAATTGAATAAAAGTAATCGTTCTAACATGGTCTTGCTTCGTTAAATCATTTCACGATAAATGCTCATGTCTTGTAGAAGCATAGCTTTGATTGAAAATAACGATTTTTTGGTTTACCATGAGTATAATTAGCATAAATCAACCATAAACTAATGCACATGAACGTGAATGAAAGTTTCGGGCTTGTAAATTGTATTTTCTGTTAACCAGAACTTCCAAACATATGCGGAGATGATGTGTGCCACAGATATGCCTCGTGTGTTGGCGGGAGATGCGAGTGCAACGAAAATTATGAAGGGGATGGAAAGGATTGTAGAGGTAAAATGAAATTAGAAGCATTTTACAGCAACTGGAAGGAGAATACGAAAGGCCATATTTATGCGTGGGGAACAAAAAATCTATATGCTTCATCGAGCCTTTCTGCTGAAGAAACTCAGAATAAATTTCTTATCTTATTTCTTTAGGAATTAAAATTTGTGGTGGCACACGAGATGATTGCCACAGAGATGCTTCGTGTACAGACACAGGACCTGGAACGTATCAGTGTACCTGTAATGAGGGCTTTACAGGAGATGGGAAGTCATGTTCAGGTACGCTTAAAATTTAAGGAATAATTATACGGGCGCACATCAAGGGGAGAAGTACGAAACACTCCTTTTGGAATTTTGCTAAACGCTTAAATTCTGTGCATTCAGATTTATTTATTTTGGACTTTTTCACGGCGGGCGAGTTCAAATGTTCAGAGCCAACGAAGAATCGCCATCCAAAAAACCGCAAATATCATAATTTTTTATTGTTGTAGTATCTGGTGAAGCCGGTGAAGGACAATGCCAGAAAGCAGATATCATTTTTGTATTGGACAGGTCTTCTAGTATACGAACATCTGATTATGATTTAATGCGAAAGTTTGTAATTGATCTTGCGAAAAAATTAAGGGTCGGAGAACGGAATAGTGAAGGCGAAGTTGTGGGGCAAGCAGCGGTTGTGACCTTCAGTGAGCGAGGAACCGTGAGAATAAACTTAAAACGTAGTCAAACTCCTGGGCGTTTTGAAAACGTTGTGAATAATATGCCTGGACCGATGTCAGGTGGTCGAACGAAAACTCACAGAGGTTTAGACATCGCTGATAAACAAATCGTCACTAAAAGGGCTGGATATCGTGAGGATGATCCTGATGTGGCAAAAATCTTCATGGTTATTACAGATGGTAAACAAACGCGTGAATCTCGACGGCGGGGTTATAAATATGTCAAGGAAGCCATGCAGCCATTCTTTAATCGTGATATGAATGTATTTTCGGTGGGTGTTGGTTTGAACGATGATAGTGCAAAACAACAAGTAAGAGATATGGTTCAAGTAAGAAGTAATGCGATTCTGGCAAAAGACTTCAAAGAGTTAAGCGAAACAGTGAACAAATTTATACAGAAATTTTGTCCAGGTATCTTAATGAATCTAATAGTAAGGCTTGTGCACCAGTTTTTTAAGGATCTTTAAAATCTTTTTTCAAATATTTTCGCGACGTGAGGAACTACATTCTTCATAGATGCAAAACCATTCCTGTCTAGGAGACACGGCCTAGAAAATGTTTGAAATCCTGATCTTGAAACCCAACCGATGAAAACAAGAGGGGGGAGGGGTTGTGTAGGGTACCCTGACTATCCCCTTTTCTCGGGTGAAGGGGCTATTTATAGATTTCTTATGTTCGATCTTTGGTGATTGAATATAGAAAGAGATATTCATGAATATGTATATACACATTGTGATCATGGTTATAGCAGCCTGATTTTGAAACAAAGTCAAGCGATAAAATTCTTTCGATCAAAAATTCAGGGGAGGTAGTGGAAAACTCGCCCTCAGTGGTTTTGCATGCATGTGATAGGTTATGTTTGTTTCAAGAATCCATCGCTCTTAAGGCTGGTTTCCACTCAGAAAAATTATCCTCCGAACTAGATCAAACAGAACGTTTTTATTTTGTCTTTATATAAAACAATTAGTTTTGGTCGAGAACACAATTGTGATAAAAGAAACTTTGTGTCATCATTGGAAACCAGCCTTTATAACTATGTTTACACAAACTAATTTAAGTCTTGATTGTACCCTATATGCATATCATATATACACGCTCTTTATTTATACATTCACTCTATTTTTCAACGTGAATTAGTTCCTTCGATATGCGGTGGAAGTGACGACTGTGCTCCGCAAGCGAGCTGCGAAGATACTGATCCTGGAGAGTACCAGTGCACATGTCAGGAAGGCTATAGTGGAAATGGAAAGCTTTGCATCAGTAAGTTTTGGTATAGGAAAGAACGCATCATTGGTCGTCGTGATTATACATGACCTGTTTCGATTCGAAATTCTTGATTATACATTCATGTCACCAGGGCCGTCCTCAGGATATTTTACAGGGGGGGTGTAAGGTAATCTAAACCGACTGATCGACGGATTTGTACCGACTACACTCTGGATGAAACTTTGTCAAGTTTATATTGGATCGGTCTATAGTATCAAAAATATTTTTGTCTGCCGACTAAAATAGCAATTTTACCGACTAAACCTAGGAAAAAACTTTCTGGGGGGGTGTGACACCCCCCTAAACCCCCCCGTAGCTCTGGGCCTGCATGTCACCAGGACGCCAACTTACTCAAATGTTTGCTAATTCACTGCTAAAGAACAAAAGAAATAATTTATTCAATGGCTTGTTATTTAGTTCCTCCCATATGCGGTTCTGAAAGAGATGACTGTCATCCATTCTTCGCAACCTGTTCAGATACCGGACCAAATAAACATGAATGCGAATGTATAACGGGATACAAAGGCGATGGCAAGACATGCATAGGTATGTAATAGTAGAATATTAGTATGGCTATACCTGTGATAAACGAATTTGGGCCGTGTTCGATTTCGGACCGTGCTAGCTCGAATTGTCGACTCTCCGGTATTTGGACTCCTGAACTGGACAAATGCGAGCACGATTACAAATTCGTTCGGTCCCGTTTAAATGTATCCTGAAACTGGTCAAGGCTTCACGGTGCCGGATCTGCCCGTCACGGTGCGGTATCTGCTCGTCACGGTGCAGGATCTGCTCGTCACGGTACCGGATCCTAGTCTGTGAAGTAAGTTATCAGTTATCGTTTATTTAGTTTGGGCTGGAGCATATTAAAAGCAGATTTAATTTTCGAAGTTCGCTTTCCGTCTAAATTAAATATAATTCAATTTGTACAGCGGATAAAGTATGCGGTACTCCGAAGGATGACTGCCATGAATATGCGACGTGTACAGATCTGGGAGCTGGAGATTACGAATGCAAATGTAATCTCGGATACTCTGGAGATGGAAAAACGTGTATAGGTGTGGCTTGTAGATCGCTCTAGACTTAAACTTTATTGTTTATAGGGGACATAAATTTAACATGAATGACTTTATTATCTTTTCTCATTATTAGCCATTGTTATTGGATTCGACAGCCTTACTTACGACGTAAACGAAGGAGATAAAAAAGCAGTTGTTCAAATTTCTGTTCAGTCAGGAGTAATAACGTCACCTTTGACACTTCAGTGAGTGAAAACAGAACTTTACCAGAGGGTAAAATGGTCATTCGGTGGCTTATTCGTGCTATCGACGCAGTTTTTTATTTTATGGGCGATATAGCGATAGTATAAACAAAGCTTCTCCTGGATTTATTTCATGCACACAGAGTTGCATATAAGACTAATTTGCTTTTTTTAATTTCGTGTTATTTACTCTGCCAGACTCGACACACGACCTGGTACAGCTGGAGGGGCAGACTTCACTGGTGTGTCTAGAACCATTACAATTCCCCCTGGCGAATCCGGCCCTATATCAGTCGAAATTGATGTTGAAGATGATACGCAAATCGAATCTACCGAAGCATTTCAAGTTGCTCTAAGTGATCCGTCTTATGGCGTACAAGTCGGTCAGCCTGCATCAGTGAATATTCTTGATAATGACGGTAATCGAAGTTTTTTTTATTAAGAATGATGCTTGCAATATATTTCTACGATATATTTCTATACGATATTTGTGGAAGTTTTACGGTCAGTTGTACAAACCAAGGTCGGTTCGTCCACCCTCGCAGATGAATGTGGCGGGTTCAGGTTACGCAATCTAATGTTGACAACAATATTAGTCAGTATGGATTTCCAAAAGTATATACTTTAAATAGAAATCTATATATACCATGCAGACTAGCAAATTAGAGTTGTAGTAGTTTATTCTGCTTTACCTAAGAGCTTTGCTATTCGCCACAAGTCTTGCTGTTTTTAAAGTCACGCAAATGCTTATCATTTAACATTCCGTGGAAAATTTAGCTAAATTGCCGTTAAAATTTTTAATTTACAGAGGCGGTTATTGCATTCACTAAAAGTGTAGTTGACGTCAGGGAAGATCAAACCGCGGTAATGGAGATTGGCTTCACATCAGGTTCCGCCAGCTCGCCTGTCACTGTCACGTAAGTCATATTTTAAAACTGTTTATAAAGTAAAATGTTAGCTCTGGACTGTAATAATATTATTGCATAATCAAGCCGCATATACGAAACTAAGATTTTAGTAATTTGAAATTTATTCCAACGTTAAGTTTGGCCACAAACACCGGATCAGCATCCGATGAGGATTTCAAAGAGAAAACAGTCGATGTTGTATTCGAAGCTGGGGAAACGGGTCCAAAGCTTGTGGAATTTGATATCGTTGATGATTCCTTGGTAGAAGATACAGAATCGTTCACAGTGTCTATCGTTTCATCTTCTTTATCTGCTGTAAAACCTGGAGAACCCTCAACAGTCAATATTTTGGATAATGATGGTAAGCTAAAACTCAACTGGAGAAGGATATTGACTGTTGAGTTATATGCGTACTATATCATCATACACCAGAAAGAGTTTCGAAATTGTCAATGTTGTCCACGCGATAATACTGCTAAGCAAAGAGTTAAGTAAAGACCAAAAACAACAGTTTTCTCTAAATTTTCCTGAAAATTCCTTCCACAGAAGCGGTTATTGCATTCACTAAAAGTGTTGTTGACGTCAGAGAAGATCAAACCGCGACAATGGAGATTGGCTTCACATCAGGTTCCGCCAGTATGCCTGTGACTGTCACGTAAGTTCATATTGTTAAATTTCTTCCTGGAAAATTAGGTATGCAGCAGGAGGGTGAATTGAGTTGTAAGAGATCACGTAACTTTTCAATCTAGTTAGAATGTATCTATCTGAGTAGTTCAAACAAGTGTCTGTTTTTTACGCGATTGCAATACGGGCTACGTTTCTTGTATAATTTCACGTTTGTTTTAAAATTTCAAGTTTGGCCACAAATACCGGAACAGCATCTGATAAGGATTTCAAAGAGAAAACAGTTGATGTTGTATTCCAACCTGGGGAAACGGGTCCAAAGGTTGTAGAATTTGAAATCATTGATGATCTCATAGTGGAAAACACCGAGTCCTTCACAGTATCTTTGGAGTCATCTTTAGTATCTGCTGTTAAACTTGGAGAACCATCAACAGTAAATATTCTGGATAATGACGGTAGGTTTTCTACGAAGAATGATGAAGTTATATTTTTATTCATATGTTTTCTCCTTTAAGACGTACGCCTACGTTCTAAAAGCTCACTAACACTCAAACTCATTGAGTGGTAGATCTTAATCTCACTGACCAGCATTGACAAAATTTATATTTCACACTCAATGAGTGTGAGTGTGAGTGAGCTTTTTGAATGCAGGCGTAAGAGGAAAATAGTGATCTTTTTTGAAAAGAGTGTTATTTATTATACTTGAAATGTGAACCGAAAATTCTTCCTACAGAGGCGGTTATTGCATTCACTAAAAGTGTTGTTGACGTCAGAGAAGATCAAACCGCGGTAATGGAAATTGGCTTCACATCTGGTTCCGCCAGTATGCCTGTCCTTGTCGCGTAAGTTGAAATTATTGAATTTCTCTCTCGCAATTTTGAAATAATAGGTATACAAAGCAAGGGTTTGGGTTAAGAGATAATGGATCGTATTGTTTTATATATTGTAAGGAAAAGAAATGACATTTTTTTGCCTACATGCACGTACAATTATTTTTGGCGTTAGCTGAATATAATTTCAACAGGCGTCGTTCCGGAATGCAATACGGACTGACTGCGTTTTTAGTAATTTGTTAAATTTCATTCTTTTTTGATTCAAAGTTTGGGTACAAATACTGGAACAGCATCTGACGGGGATTTCCAAGGAAAAACTGTTGAAGTTATGTTCCAACCTGGGGAAACTGGTCCAAAAGTTGTAGAATTTGAAATCGTTGATGATCTCATAGTGGAAAATACAGAGTCCTTCACAGTATCGATGGAGTCATTTTCAGTATCTGCTGTTAAAGTTGGAGGACCATCAACAGTAAATATTCTGGATAATGACGGTAGGTTTTCTACGAAGAATGATGTAGTTATATTTTTATTCATATGTTTTATCTTTTAAGACTAAGAGCAAATAAGTGATCTTTTTTAAAAAGAGTATTATTTAAAAAAATGTGAACAAAATTCTTCCTACAGAGGCGGTTATTGCATTCACTAAAAGTGTAGTTGACGTCAGAGAAGATCAAACCGCGGTAATGGAAATTGGCTTCACATCAGGTTCCGCCAGTATGCCTGTGACTGTCACGTAAGTTGAAACTGTTGTGCTAATTTCTGGGATTTCGAGAAGAGTGGAGGTATTGGGGAAGGAAGGGTTCATGGAAGACAGAGGATCTTATTTATTTCAGATCTTTTCCCGAAAAAAATATTAATAATTTTAGGAATGCTTTTGAGAAGACCTTTGGAGACTGCCATTTATATTATATATCAGGCATTACGCCATTAGGCATTTATTAAAAAAAAACATTTTTTCAGATTTTTTCATCTCAAATTTTAGAAATAATTTAATTAAAATTTTAGCTTAGCCACAAATACTGGGACAGCAAGTGGTACGGATTTCAAAGAGAAGACAGTTGATGTTGTATTCCAAGCTGGGGAAACGGGTCCAAAAGTTGTGGAATTTGAAATCGTTGATGATTCTTTGGTGGAAAAAACCGAGTCGTTTACGGTATCTTTGGAGAGATCTTCTGTGTCTGATGTAAAACTTGGAGAACCATCAAGAGTAAATATTCTGGATAATGACGGTACGTTTTCTACGCCAATATGATATAATTATAGCTATATATTTTATATTTCATCTAGGAGGTGTTTCGGGGTTGTACCGTACCGGCCGGGTAGTGCACGGTATCGAAAATCCTCAATATTTCTAACAACTCCGTTTAACTAAAGCTACGTTCATACGGGACAGCAAGGAATGGTTTGGACATTGCTCTCATTCGCCCGGTTTCCACGTGTGGACACCTGAACCTGGCAAATTCGAGCTCTTATAGACTACCTAAACGTAGTCTAAAAGAAGTTCTTAATGGACAAAAATTATATGGCCAATTTGGCTACAGTGTTTATAGCGGAATGATCACTTGATATGTGCGACAATTGAATGAGTTGTTGTTGATAAGCCCCGTTTACACTTCGCGCGGTACTTGGTACGGTACAGATAAAACTGGCACCCGTACCATTTAAAACTGGCACCCGGCCGAACCATTTTTATCCGTGGTAGTCCAAGTACTTGTAAAAGTGGCACGGCCGAAACTTGCCACAAATGAACAAATGCCCAAACAATTAAGTAGCCAGTACCCTTCAAGACTAAAAAGAAAATAGCTTTTTTTAAAAGAAGAAATAATGATCGAACGTACTTGACATATGTGCAAATTCCTCTTACAGAAGCGGTTATTGCATTCACTAAACGTGTAGTTGACGTCAGAGAAGATCAAACCGCCGAAATGGAAATTGGCTTCACATCTGGTTCCGCCAGTTCGCCTGTGACTGTCACGTAAGAAAAAACTGTGTTCTTTTATCGTATTATTATTGGAAAATTCCACCTATAAAACAGGCAAAAGTACCGAGAGATAGCAAAACTTATTGAAGTATAGATCTTTTGCTTAATCAAAAAATACCACACGAGTGTGATAAATTCAAAACAAATTGGAAACATTACGTTGCCAAAGAGACGCCTATTATGGGCTTAGAATAACCCGCAATGGGGGGAGTCTGATGAGCAACGAAAATATATTACAGTGAGCCACAGTGGCCACTGTATATTACAAACACTGAGCTATGTATACCAGTATAGCTCAGTGATTACAAACCACTGAGCTATATATATAGCTCAGTGTTACAAACAGTTTTGATGTAAACAAAGAAATGGGAGTCATATTACTCTGGGTGAATCAGCTTAAATGAAAGAGAGTTTTTTATTTATGCCGGAGGGATGAAGAGTGCCAAGACTGTGGATGAGTCGGGTTTCTTGTCGTTTACGGCTATCGTTAGTTCCGAAAATGGGACAGAGGGCTCTAATTCTCATGTCCGTGACACAATGATTTATACCAGATCAGAGGTAAAGTGTTAAGAGTCTGGCAACAGGCTTGGTGTTATCGTGGTTGTTGACCGACCTACGATATTCACCAAACCTTACCCGATGTTTAGTAAACCACATTTGTTGCATAAGATGCAATAAATGAGGTTCGAGGAGAAGCATGTGAAATGGTGCTGATTTAAAACTTTGAATTGGGAGCCGAAATAACAGTGCCGAAATCAGTAAATGAACATGTTTTACATTGACCAATGCCACAGGGGAATGTGCCATTGGGCTCTGAACAATTTTGCTGTAGAGAGCTGTGAACCAATGTGTCCTGGATATTTTTGTTGTGCTGAAAAGAGACCAGGGGGTTATTGGTGAAAATGGAAGTTGTCTTGGGATCTTTCTGTAGGATATGAAAATTCCTAAGTACTGTATGACATCCCTATAAACAGCAAAATTGAAGGGATGATGTGTTAGAACTAAGGGGGTAGAATTAATGCTAGGATGTCTAAGCGGGAAATGTTGGAAGCCTTAGATAAAGCAGTGTCAATCGGTGAGGAGGGATTTTGCACTTTAGATTATATAGGGAAGCTCTCAGGAAGACCTAAAATGAGATACAATAGTAGCTATGATTTTCTCATTTGAATTTTCATATTTATCTAAATTTTTAGTTTGACCACAAGTACTGGGTCAGCAAGTAGCGAGGATTTCAAAGAGAAAACAATTGATGTTGTATTCGAAGCTGGGGAAACGGGTCCAAAGGTTGTCGAATTTGAAATCATTGATGATTCCTTGGTAGAAAATACTGAATCCTTCACAGTATCTTTGGAATCAACTGCATCTGCTGTTAAACTTGGAGAACCGTCGTCAGTCAATATTTTGGATAATGATGGTAAATGGTAGTAGTTTTAGATGGGGGAGGTGTAACAACTAACAATGGTGTACTACATCATTTTAATGCAAAATGTCAAGGCTGTGCATGTGCTTTCAGTAGCTGTACTTTAATTTTAATAAGAAACAGTAACCACGTAGATGAATTATATTGATGATTTTTACAATTGTTGTGGGTTAATCATGTTTTTGATAGAATATTAAGCAAATTTTGTTACCGATTTTGTAGAGGCTGTTATTGGATTTACTAGTCAAACTTACAATGTTCCAGAACATCAGAATGCTCAAATTGAAGTAGGATTCTTGAAAGGTGGAGCAGCGGTACCTGTTACTGTCCGGTAAGTCTACTTTGACAGTCATTACCATTGAAGTGGGAATAATTAAGGCCGTAACCCAACTTCAACTAGACTGAAGGAAAAAGGTTATTTTGACATCTGCGTACATGACAGTCATCATCACTGGCCTGTGAGCATTGGGATCTCAAGTTAATCATGAATTTGTTGCATTTTGTTACGTTAATTTCTAGTCCTATTGGAAGAAAATGTTTTCGTAATCTTCTTTATAGGCTTTCGACTGTCCCAAGCACCGCTACTGCTGAAGATTTTGTTCCAAAAACAATAGACGTGACGTTTGCACCTGGAGAGACCGGACCAAAACAAGTTGAGATTGAAATAGTTGATGATCCAAAGGTTGAGTCGACAGAAGAATTTAAAGTTAAAGTGGAATCTTTGCATCCCGCTGTGAAAGGAGGAGATGATTCAGTTGTAAACATTTTAGATAATGACGGTAACTATGCTTTATTACGGGTGTCTACAACTGACGTATTCACAATAATCAAGTCACGATTAGAATTCTTTAATGAAAGGATTTTTCGTAACAACTAAAATCGTAAAAATTGTAATTGGTCGCGATCAAGTGATTTAACTACGTATTTACGGGTGTCTACAACTGACGTATTCACAATAATTAGGTCACGATTAGAATTCTTTAATGAAAGGAATTTTCGTAACAACTAAAATCGTAAAAATTGTAATTGGGCGCGATCAAGTGATTTAACTATGAAGTGAGAATGAGATGGGTTTGGGGTCCCAGATTGGCAGGATTTTAGAATTGTCACAGTCATACAGATTTTGTCCACGAGAAACGTCATATTGTCGTTGAAAGGGAGGGGGGGCGTTCGGCCCGAGGTGTGAGGCATTCCTGACACACCAAGCTTTTGGACCAAAAAAATTGCCGAAACAGACTGCAGAAACATTCAGATTTTTTACTTTTGACATGCCAGATCATATTTCCATTGTATACTTACGCAGATGCCTTATTTGTTTGCATTTAACATTACGATTGCACAGTTGTGGGAGGTTCACTACGCACAGTTCTGGAGTAAATTGTAATAAAAAAAATTGAACATTCAGCCACTCACCCCACTATTTGTCTTTATATAGAAACAACGGTCAATTTCATTGAGGGAACCTACGACGTGAAAGAGGATGAAGATGCAGTTATTGAAGTTAAACTTTCCTCAAGTATTCCAGTACCCGTCACCGTGACGTATGGATACACTTTCATTATTGTATTTCTAAGAAAATTAGTAATATTAGATTTTTTGAGTACATTTATTTAAAATCAGCAGTCCTGATTTATGTTCAATGCACATTACAGGTAAATGCCCCTCATTAAATGGAATTGGTCTTTGGGTGGTAATTTTGTAATTTTTATTTTGCCGTTAGCCTGAAGACAGAACCGTTAACTGCTGGAAATACCGATTTTGTTCCAACGATTGTGGAAGTAACCTTTGAAGCAGGGGAAACTGGTCCCAAAAGAATTACGATACCCGTTATAGATGATGATTTGGTGGAACCAACGGAAGAATTTAAAGTCAACTTAATTTCCTCGTCTGTGCCAACTGTCAAACTGGGTGAACCTACTTCAGTTAATATACATCTCCAGGATAATGATGGTGAATGAGCAAATATTTAATTTATCAATAGATATATTCAATTAATATGAAATTATATTATGCAGATCTTCGTAACCTAAACAATAATGTATCCTTGTATCTGAAAGTCAAATTTGTGGCCAATTTCAATTTTCAGATGCTGTTATTGGCTTTACAAAACGTACTTATGACGTGATTGAAAGTGAAAACGCCATAGTTGAGGTTGGAGTTGCTTCAGGTCAAATATCAATTCCAGTTACTGTGACGTAAGTGTACATACGTGAGAAGTTCAAAGTATTCGCTTAAGCTTTGAAAAATTTTTAGTGATTTTGATTTTTTTTAAAGTGGGGCTCCAAAAAATGTTTAGGGGGGGTGGGGCAAGATGCTACTATAAGTGACGCGAACATCGCATAGAACTAAAAACTACTTACGTAACATGAAAAGATCTGGGGGGGGGGCTGGGGGCAGATAACAAAATTATGGGGGGGGGAGAAAATGTTCCTCCCTTGCTTCCCTCCTGGCGCCTCCAATGATGTTTTGCTTTTACTTCAAGCTTGGAGACCATTCCTTTGACTGCATCCGAGAATGACGATTACGTTCCTAAGAGAGTTGAAGTTACTCTACAACCTGGGGAAAAGAAACCAAAAACCGTTGAAATAGACGTTATTGATGATCTGTTGGTAGAAAAAACTGAGGAATTCCAAGTTGGCGTGGTAGCCTCCAGCATGCCATCGGTTACATGGGGAGATCCAATTTCCGTTAATGTCCTGGATAATGACGGTATAATTATTATTTCGATTTTCATAGACAGTGAAAATCATGCAATTCCTCGAGGACCGCTTTCGCTATCATTTCATTTATTATTCTGTAGGAGTGATCCAATTTACTAGAACATCCTATAACGTGAACGAGGATGAACAGGCGGAAGTGGAAATTGAATTCGCCAGTGCTGGAATAAGTTCACCTGTGACCGTTCAGTAAGTGAATCGATCGTCCGATTGTTTTGATTATATTAAGTTAGAAGTTCCGAGTTTGATTGATCCCTTTTCAAAAGAATGTATGTAATTATTTCAACGACACTACTAGGAAATTTGCGCTTTGAAGTTTTAAGTGGTTGGTGTTATCATGATAAATAGAATAAGAAATAACATATGTATAGATACTTGTTTTATTCTGCTTTTTAACTAATGATGTCCTTAATACTTTTTTAACTATAATAATGTCCTTAATACTTTTTTCTTCCTTACCATTTATCCAGGCTAAGAACTAGGCCAGGGACGGCTGGAAATAATGATTTTAAAGCAAAGACTGTTGATGTTACGTTTGAGCCTTGGGAAACGGGACCGAAAACTGTACTGTTTGATATAATTGATGATCCTTTAGTAGAATCAGAAGAAACCTTTTATGTTGATTTTGCATCGTCTACGGCGCCTTCCATTAATTTGGGCCGACCGGCAGCAATTAATATCAGGGATAACGATGGTATAACATCTTTAGATAATTTTATGTATACATGCATTACTAGCTAAGCGAGGAAACATCTTTTATTATTCCATGTTAAACGTCTTTAACATCTTTCAAGAATGACGACAATGACAATTCATATATTATGCTCACGAGATCGGGAAAATTTAGGTTATCAAATGAGGTTATCATACCTCTATACGTGGAATAGAATACGGGGAAAAGACATGTGCCCACGCTTGTGATTTAGATAGAGTCATTTTTATCACCACGCCCTCAAATTGTCTGGCCGATTTAATTCAGCCTAAGTGGAAAATTATAACCTCCTCTTTGTCTTTCACAGAGGCCATTATTGCTTTTACAAAACCTGTTTATGAGGTAAAGGAAGATCAAAAGGCTGTCGTTAGTGTAAAGGTTGCAGAGGGGCAAATAGATGGTCCCGTCACAGTTCGGTAAGAAGAATTACCACCACATATGCGCCCTAAATATTGATCGCAGCCTGTATGCAATTATTTTCCCTCTTTGAGAGTTTAAACCCGTCTATGCAGCTGCCATAAACTGTTAACTTTTGTCACGTTTTAGGATGGCAGCAACGCCATCAACAGCAACTGAGGCAGACTTCGTTCCAGAAGAATTTGAAATCACATTTGCACCTGGTGAAACTGGTCCCAAGTCAGTCGAAATCGATGTTCGAAATGATGATTTACTTGAGAATACGGAACCCTTTTCAGTGTCTCTCGTTTCATCATCTGTCCCTGCTGTTAAATTAGGCAACCCTTCCACAGTGAATATTTTGGATGATGACGGTATGTTCGCTCTTGTCTACCTGTTGGGTTCATTATTACATAATCACTTTCTTTTTCTGGTAGTATCGTACTGTTTATTCCATCTTGAAAACCGGTTATTTTAACGCAGTAACATTTCAGCTGTGCCCTACTCTGTGTATATAACACTATTCCTTCAGCTGTTATGTTTAATTCGTCTATAGAAGTCATCGTTGGTTTCACAAAACCTGTGTATACTGCAAATGAGAATGAAAAAGCAAGAGTGGAAGTAGTACTTGCTGATGACACGGCCGGCATCCCCGTCACAGTTCGGTAGGAACAAATTACGCTTTTTAAATACGAAATATCGAATGATTTTTCATTGTTAATGGTCTTGTAGACTACGTTAGAAAAATAACAAAAACATGCAAAGAAGATTGGGTTTATTCACAACTCGCAAATGCTTTTATTCTCGCTATAAAACCTTTGTATTTTCCGTAACAAAGTTTAATTTACCAAACGTGAGACTGGATGGCAACGTTTTGATTTTATTTATATGACATTGTATAAAAGAAAGTTAAATTCTTTTTCAGTATACATATGTAGCCGACAATTTACCCGCATTTGAAGGGTGTCTCTCTAGCATTTAACTCCAAATACTAATAGCTAATAAATATTATATTATAAATACTATGATCACGATGCAGTGAAGGAGCGAAAAACAATGCATAAATGATAAACTCGAAGCATATTTTAAAAATTGTTTGCCGGCAGTTTTAAAAAACAACGAACTTATAAATTAAATATGTTCAAAATTTTAGGCTTCAAACTAGTCCCTCGACAGCTGGAACAAGTGATTATTCTGGTGGGCCATGGGAGATCACGTTTCAGCCAGGCGAAACTGGACCAAAATCGATCGATATTGATATTGTTGATGATCAACTGTTGGAAGATGAAGAATCGTTCATAGTTTTCCTAACACCATTAACACCAGGAGTTAAAGTTAAAGATCCTGCGTCTGTAAAAATCATAGATAATGAAGGTGAGTTTCGATTGAATGAATAATGCCGATCTTCATGCATGGCGGATAATACCACATACCAGGCCCCTATAGCTGATTAAGAGGGGGGAGGGGGTGTTAGAAAGCAGTACACTCCCTGTTTGAAAATGAAATTGACATTAGCCGCAACCGAAATGCACCAAAAAGCAATTTTCAGGAAATTTTCAGGAGTGTGCCCCCCCCGCCCAAAAAAGTGGGGATCCATCCATCTACGTGCCTGGACACTAGGGACAAATACCCTTTATTCTGCATGCATATGATTGCACGCATCATGTCAAATATAGTGTGTCTCAAGCGAAATTACACGTAATTTATATTATGTAATTTTTCTAATTTCAGTTGCCCCGATATGCGGAACACCACAAGATGATTGTCACAGATATGCCACGTGCACCGACACAGGTCCGGGAAGATATTCATGTACTTGTAATGAAGGATTTACTGGGAATGGAAAAACCTGTTTAGGTTGGTATTTTGCATGAAAAAATTTTGAATCGCAGAAAATATATACTGTATACTCTTATCATATCACATGTAGGTATAGGCTGCACGAATTTTAACAAAACGAATTCACCTTCCCGTAAGCGATGTCCGATCCGGAGATTCGTTAATTACGGCAGTAATGTTTACACTGTGTTTTACTGCGCCCTGATTATGGTAGATTTTGCTTCAGCGCTTGATCTTATCGATATACTTCTGATATTCTAAAAGTGCCATCATTCAAGTTGTACTGTTAGAGGTGATAAAAATAAAAAGAAATCACCATATATTTTGAATGTCAAAACGAAAATGCATGACATAACAACTTCAACTTCCTATCTTTTTTATTTAACAGCCATCGATATGTGCGCAACTGGCGCTCATGATTGCCATTCTGATGCAACATGCGTCAACACAGGTCCTGGGACTTTTATGTGTTCTTGTAATGAAGGCTTCACAGGAAATGGAAAAAGTTGTGAAGGTATGTTTTTTTTGCCAAAATCGAAATCAAAATCGACATGATTATGATCGTATTCCTTGCGAAAATTGGAAATTAGACCATTTGCGTTTGATTGCGAACATAGATAAAATTATTTCATTTTTTTGCAGTTATTGCAATTATTGCAGAAATAATTACGCGGGAAACTTGTTTAATGACAACGTTTTAATATTCAGTGTCAATGCTAAAAAGGCTATACCACGTAAGCGAGTTACCCGTTCCTGCTTCCCCCCAGTTCTGGGGTGGTCGATATGGGCTAGATTAACGAAGGCGAGATGAATCGTCGCTGAATAAAAACGGGATGAAGGCGAACATCTCGAACGTGGTTTTTACCTCGAAATAATATATTTTGTAATCCCATTTTTTCCGCTTCTTTCGATGTTTTAGGCATAGCGTTTTTTTTACCTTTGACACAACAACTCGCCATCATTTTAAACAATTTGCTTAGGTGAATTTTGCTTGTTCAATTCTTTCATGAGCACTTCAGTATAACTCGTGTTTGTAATGTAATAGAGTTGCCTGCTGTCCAAGCAAAATGTCGGAAGATGGATCTTATCATGGTACTCGACAGATCGTCAAGTATCCGTCCCGCTGACTACGAACATATGCGCGACTTCTTAATTGAGCTTGGCAAATCCCTAAAAATTGGGGAGAGAGATGCGCAAGGGGACGTCATTGGTCAAGGTGCTATCGTTACATTCAGCGAGAGGGGTACTGTAAGAATAACACTGAAGGGAAGTCAAAAACCTGGTGCATTTGAAAAAGCTGTAAGGAATATGCCAGGCCCGCTGCCAGGGGGTCGTACAAAAACTCACAGAGGCTTAGCTTTGGCTGATAAAGAAATCCTCACATCGGAAGCTGGCTTGCGAACGAATGATCCAGATGTTGCAAAAATCTTTATGGTTATAACTGATGGAAAGCAGACTAAGGAGTCACGAAGAAGAGGTGAGTAATTTGATTAAATAATATTTTTTATAGCAAAACTACAATGAAAAGTGAAAGATATATAACACTTTGTGTGTTGTGTTTCCAGTCTCATGCTTCGGTCCTACGTTCTCATTCAACCATTCATCGTACTCATCGGCGTTGGTTGCTTTTTATATTTTACAAGCAGTAAATTTCATTCGTCACCGGCTAAGCGATAGAATATTGGCATTATGTCGTAATCAAAGATGCCTCGATGGGAAATATGGATTATACAAATTTTTGTTTCACTCAGTTTAACCTGCTCATTTTTACAAACAAATGCTTTAGTTTATTCCGTATCCGTTTTTAGCCGGTTATTATCCGTTTTCTAAAGGGTTACCTTGCGATATATTGTTTAAACGTTCATTGTTTCTATGTCTAAACCATAGGTTATAAATATGTTGGAGAAGCTATGGAACCATTTCATGCCCGTGGTTATTTGGACGTTTTTGCTGTTGGTGTTGGTTTAAAGAGAGATAGCGAAGTCAAAGAAGTCAAAGATATGGTAAAACACGCAAGTAATGCCATTCTGGCGGAAAATTATAAGGAACTAACAGAAACCGTTGAAAAGTTTTTGAAGAGATTCTGTCCAGGTAAAATAGAACTGTTACTTATATTTTATCTGATCTTTAACTATGAATGAGTCAAGCGTTAAGAATTCTTATTTGTCTTGCAGCTCCAACAGTATGTGGGACAGAAAACGATGATTGTGATAAAAATTTAGCGACATGTACAGATACAGAACCTGGGTCATATCGATGTACATGTAATGATGGCTATGTTGGAAATGGAAAGAAATGTGTTGGTAAGAATGTGTTGGGATTTAAAACAATGATTTAGCAAAACAGCCTCAAGACTTCATATTGCTTTTTTTTTCAGCTCCATATGTTTGTGCCACTTTAAGAGATGACTGCCATCCATACCTTGCAACATGTACCGACGTTGGAGATGGAAATTATAATTGTAAATGTGTGGAACATTATACTGGAGATGGAAAAACTTGTGCAGGTTTGTTTCCAATCATAAGGTTGTACTTTTAAACTTGTGCTTTCTTCAATCTTCATTATTGATTCCATATTTTTTCACCTGCCATGCTTTGAATAACGACAATATATTACAAAGAATTAGAATGGGAAATGGACATGAGGCATGGATAATTTGATTAAGAAATAACATTGATTGGTAAGTTGTGGATTTTTTATCACCAGCGACAAAGATCTGTGGGACAGAAAGAGATGATTGCCATGAACACGCAACTTGTACTGATACTGGTCCTGATAGCTACAAATGCCGTTGCAACACGGGCTACGTTGGAGATGGAAAGATGTGTGAAGGTGCATATGAATAAATTTTTCTTGAAACTATTACACTTATACCAGTTTGTTCATGAAAATAATCAGTAATTTACACGAGATTTTGTTTTTGTAGTTGAACAAATATGCGGCACTCCCAAAGATGATTGCCATGAGTTTGCATCTTGTGAAGACACAGGCCCAGGAAAATATAAATGCACCTGTAATTCAGGGTACACTGGCGATGGAAAATCGTGTGCAGGTAAAATCGGTGGTTGTAGTCATGCAATATCTTAAAGCTGAAATGTGCGTTTGTGTTGCCATGGCTATCCTGCAAGAATATAAAACGTCAGTTTCGATAATTAGGGATCTCTATTTCAGGAATCAAAATATGCGGAACACCACAAGATGACTGCAGTGAATTTGCTACATGTGCCGACACAGCACCTGGAACCTTCACGTGTACCTGTAACAAAGGTTATCGTGGGGATGGAAAGACTTGCGAAGGTAATTTGTATATAAAAAAAAATGAATGTGATTGCTTTTGTCAAGCTTCAAGAGCAAATCTATCATCAATTTTAGTAACCATAATTGAATTTTCAAGTGAATTCAACTGTAACATTTTTATCTAAATTGGCATTTTTTCATCAGAAATCAATATATGTGGAACACCACAAGACGACTGCAGTGAATTTGCTACATGTGCTGACACAGGACCAGGAACCTACACGTGTACCTGTAATGAAGGATACACCGGTGATGGAAAAACTTGCGAAGGTTTCTATTCTCCGCCATTTTTTGCCCGTATAAAAATTCATACCACATAGTAATTCCATTATTGAACTCATTCCTTATTGTGAATATCTTTGATTTCTTTTCTTTTGTTTAATTAGAAATCAAAATATGTGGAACACCACAAGACGACTGCAGTGAATATGCTACATGTGCTGACACAGGACCTGGAACCTACACGTGTACCTGTATAGAAGGATACACTGGTGATGGAAAAGTTTGTAACGGTAATTTTAATATTTGAGAAGAGAGAAATGAAACAATCAATGAAATCAATGAAAAAATCAATTCCTGCATTCCATTTATTCGATTGAGATGGTTATGTTCAGTAATATAAATAAAGAGCTCAAAAGTTCATTTTCGCCACTATTTCTTTTCAGAAATCAGAATATGTGGAACACCGCAAGACGACTGCAGTGAATTTGCTACATGTGCTGACACAGGACCTGGGAGCTATACTTGTACCTGTAACAAGGGATATACCGGAGATGGGAAAACATGTGAAGGTTTTTGACCGCCTATTCCATTTTTTCGAGAACAACATAATCACTGAAAATATTTGTTAATATTCACGAACATTGTTCACTCAATAATCATCTTGTAAAATGTACGCTTCATCTTGAATCCAACCGTTTAAAGAACATACGTCATTTCTCCTTTGCATAGAAATCCAGGTTTGTGGAACTCCACAAGACGACTGCAGTGAATATGCTATATGTACCAACACTGGTCCTGAAACCTATACTTGCACGTGCAAGGAAGGATATAGTGGAGATGGAAAAAGCTGTAAAGGTAAGAAAAACTGATTTACAACTGATTTAGAACCTTTTATTGAAGGGGTGAGATACGCATTGATCTAATTTCTGTATCGTTGAATTTCTATTCTAGGCGTTGTAGTCGAGTTTACAAGGCGAAACTATGGCGGCAAAGAAGGCGGGTCTGCATTGCCTGAAATTGTTGTACGTTTGGGTGATATTATCGAGCCGATAACTATACGGTAACTCATGCTAACCCGTTTTCTTCAAAATTTCCAGTATGAATGACTGGACAAGCTCAAAATTTAAAATTGTACTTCCTCTACAGCGTAACAAAAACTCCTAAAACAGCCGGAAACAAAGATTATGATCCTCAACCAGTGGATATCACATTTCAACCAGGCGAAACAGGACCAAAGTCGATTCCAATTAACTTAGTGGACGACGATGTCGCTGAACCCAACGAAGAATTCACCATCACCCTGTCATCTTCGTCACCTGGAGTTACTGTGGGAGAACCTGCGACTGTGATCATTAAAGATAATGACAAATCAAGTATATATTTCGTATTCCTCACCCTAGAAAAACATAACAATTAACGCTTTTAATTGTTTCCTAAGAGACGTACTTCTCTCCATTGATAGAACAAAGTAATTTTTCTTTTTGTTTTATTTCAGCACCATGCAAAACAAAAGCTGACCTCATCTTTGTACTCGATAGATCTGGTAGTATATCTCCAACAGATTACGATAAAATGCGCGAATTTGTTAAAAAAGTAGGAAAAGAAATAAAAGTCGGCGAAAGAAATGAAAAAGGGGAAATCATTGGACAAGCCGCCATAGTTACCTTTAGTGAATTAGGAGAGAAAAGACTAACGTTAGCAGAAAGCCAAGATTCAAAGAAATTCTATGACACAGTAACTAAAATGCCTGGACCTTTGCTACGCGGCCGAACAAAAACACATCGTGGCTTAAATATTGCAGATAAAGAAATTGCTATTAAAGAAGCTGGGTATCGGGAGGATGATCCAGATGTTCAGAAAATGCTAATGGTTATCACAGATGGGGAACAAACTAAAGAATCAGTTCGACGAGGATACGTTTATGTTGGGGATGCAATGAAAACTTTCTTCAATAGAAATATGAATGTCTTTGCGATTGGTGTTGGACTCGAAAATGAAGATGCAAAGAACCAAGTTAGAGATATGGTAGAATATCCAGAAAACGCAATTCTTGCTGCTAACTTTAGTGATCTACTCCAGAAATTTGAACTCATTATCAAGAAATTTTGCCCAGGTAACCTTTGATAATATAAAAACAGTGAAGTTATGTTTTTGGAGTAACATTATATATACTTTAGGCAGTTCATTTAGTTTTATTTATAAATCCAGTTAACCTTGTTTTAGTATCTGATACTTGTGGAACACCAGAAGACGACTGCCATGAATTTGCTACATGTGCCGACACAGGTCCTGGAACCTACACCTGCACCTGTAACGAAGGATATACGGGAGATGGAAAAACTTGTGAAGGTAATAATGTTGGTATATATCTAGATAACGTACAGCATATGGCGGCTTCTGCTTCTTAAAAACTTTCTGTTTCGTCTTTAACTTTAATTAAGCTTCTTAACTCTTTTGAAATACTACTTATCCTTCAGAAATCAAAATGTGTGGAAATCAGGACGACTGTAGTAGATTTGCGACGTGTACTGAAGTATGGCCTGACTCCTACGCTTGCGTTTGTAAAGAAGGATATACCGGAGATGGCAAAACCTGCGAAGGTGAGACACAAAATATTCTGGAACAATCCGTTTAATTTTTGCTTTTACTAATTTAGGAGGGTTTTCACAGTTTACATTGGAGGTTACGTTCTGCATTTCTTTGAAGTTGGGTTTTGTAACTGAAGATAAGCTTTTTTCTGTTTAGTTTGTCTTTTCTAGGTATAAATTCAATTTTTTTCTCAACCAGAGATTATAATATGTGGCACTCCATTGGATGACTGCAGTGAATTTGCTACATGTGCCAACACAGGACCTGGAACCTACAGTTGTACCTGTAATGAAGGATATACCGGAGATGGAAAAACTTGCGAAGGTAATTAGAACAAAAATAGCCACGAGAATGCATGCCTTATTTAAATGTGCGTTTCCTTTACTGTACGAAAAAACTATATGAGCTAAAAGTGAATGATTCATAAAACGCTAACTTAAATTATGCGACGTTTAATATTAGCGAAGTTTGGAGAATGATTTTCTGAAACGTGGCCGATCAAACAGTTTCGATACATGTTATACCCGTGTTTTAGCAAATTTTTCAAGCCTACGAAAATGTGTATTATATAGTGTAACAATAATTAAGGTAACACTAAAATTTAATTAGCTTCCCCCCTGGAAAGAAAAACGAGAGAACTTGGACACCTCAAAAAAGAGACACCATTGCAAACGACAATACAGAAACTATTAATCTTACTATTTATTTAACGGTTAAACACTTATCAAGTTTTTTGTGTGCGTGCAATACGTACGTAGCTCCACAGCAAAAATTCGGCAAAATTTTTCTCTTAAATTTTGATTAATTTTGTTAATATTTCCTGTCTTTTATTTTTTCTCAACCAGAAATCAAAATATGTGGAACACCGCAAGATGACTGCAGTGAATATGCTACATGTGCTGACACAGGACCTGGAACCTACAGTTGTACCTGTAATGAAGGATACACTGGTGATGGAAAAACATGCGAAGGTTCAGTTTTATTTTCATAATATTTTTCTTGCCATTAATCGGCCATCTTTCTTAAGGTTGAATTCTAAATCACAGAAATTAATATATTTGGAACACAATATTGAAATTGAATTTTAAATCACAGAAATCAATATATGTGGGACACCTCGAGATGACTGCAGTGAATTTGCTACATGTGCTGACACAGGACCTGGAACCTACACGTGTACCTGTAATGAAGGATACACTGGTGATGGAAAAACATGCGAAGGTATGATATTTAAGCAAAATACAATAGATTTGGGGAAACGTTCTCCGACATGAACCCTTTTGATCAGTCAGCTATAGAGCATAAGGCTACCAGTATCAAAGATCATATTGTTTACTTTTTTTCAATCAGAAATCAAAATATGCGGATCACCACAAGACGACTGTAGTGAATTTGCTACATGTGCTGACACAGGACCTGGAACCTACACGTGTACCTGTAAAGAAGGATACACTGGTGATGGAAAAACGTGCGAAGGTAGGAACAAATAATTAAGATACCAGCTGTACCTAGTTATTCCTATTGTGGATTTAAAAAAATGCGTTGTGTATATTCAATTTATTATTTGGTTATGAACCGACTGTATTTTATAGGATAAAATTTTTCCTTACTCGTTTTTTGTTTAATGTCTTCCTTGAACAATCATCATAATCATAAGTTTAATTCACTAACATTTTTCTGAATCTATTTTGGTTTTTTTTGGTATAGAAATTAAAATTTGCGGAACTTCTGAAGAAGACTGCAGTGAATATGCTACATGTGTACACACTGGTCCTGGAACTTATAAATGCAACTGCAATGAAGGATATTATGGCGATGGAAAAACTTGCAAAGGTTTTCTTTAAGTCATTCAAAAATTTTCTAAAACTGAACAATGACCATTTGTTTAATAACTACTTTTGTTTATTTGCATTTAAGGTGTTGTTGTCCAGTTTAAGGAGAAAGTGTATGGTGGCAAAGAAGGCGAGTCAGCATTACCTGAAATTGTTGTAACACCTGGCTATCTTACCGCGCCGATAACCATACGGTAAGCAATATTCGAATTCGTCTGTTTCCTGCCGTGCGGCTATAGTGACAATCAAAGCTCTCTTAACCTAACCAGCGCATCTATAGGCACAAAGTCACGACGTGGTAGAGAATAGGTTTCTTAAAGATTGTAGGTAGTCCTCCGAAACATATTTGGTAGCCATCAAAGAGTAACACAAACTCAGCTCTTACAAAACCTTAAAAAATGCACGAACTATAACCAAGTAAGCATTAATCCATCATTCCTTGCGCGGTCAGAAGGTCAATCTCCTTTGAATCAGATGTATACGACGTTAGGTTTTCAGTTCATTCGAAAATTTCAGAAAGTTTCTGGAAACTTTCGTTTAAATTTACTAAGTTGATTTAGCTTGGGATACGTCGCTTAGGATGAAAGTTGTACTTCGTCACTGATACTTTTTATATGGTCTTTAATAAGATCACGCTATCTCCTGGGCAGTGATAACTGTTTGGTTTATTTATTATACCTTTGCTTCTGCTTTTTCTGTAAAAGATCTCCTTGTGCGGTGTTTGCGACATGAGGTATCGTATAAAAGCTGCTTAAATAACGGGATTTTTGTTCTCACGTTGCGACAAATCAGTTGTTATGTAGTATAGTTGATATCTGTAACGCGTTCGTTTCGGTTTTTTAAAAAGTTATCTATGGACAGGTCAGACCAAGTTTCTGCAATGGTCTTCTAGGTATTTGGTGTGCTATAACGTGTTCTTTTTCATATTTCCTTCTAAATGGGGCGCAGGTGAAGCATCTCGTCACACTTTCGTTGGTTATTATCGGGCATTCTAGGCCAATAAAGTATTTCTCTTGCCCGCGCTTTGAATTTTTTTTTTCTCCACAGTGTTACAAAAACTCCAAAAACAGCAGGAAACGAAGATTTTGAGCCTCAAACTGTTGATGTTATATTTGAACCTGGCAAAACTATGTCGAAGTCGATTCCAATTGACTTAGTGGACGACGATGTCGTTGAACCCAACGAAGAATTCACCATCACCCTATCATCTTCGTCACCTGGAGTTACTGTGGGTGAACCTGCGACTGTGATCATTAAAGATAATGACAAATCAAGTATACATTTCTTATTCCTCACCCTAGAAAAACATAACAATTAACGCTTTTATTTCTTTCCTAAGAGACGTACTTCTCTCCATTGATAGAACAAAGTAATTTTTCTTTTTGTTTTATTTCAGCACCATGCAAACCAAAAGCTGACCTCATCTTTGTACTCGATAGATCTGGTAGTATATCTCCAACAGATTACGATAAAATGCGTGAATTTGTTAAAAAAGTAGGAAAAGAAATAAAAGTCGGCGAAAGAAATGAAAAAGGGGAAATCATTGGACAAGCCGCCATAGTTACCTTTAGTGAATTAGGAGAGAAAAGACTAACGTTAGCAGAAAGCCAAGATTCAAAGAAATTCTATGACACAGTAACTAAAATGCCTGGACCTTTGCTACGCGGCCGAACAAAAACACATCGTGGCTTAAATATTGCAGATAAAGAAATTGCTATTAAAGAAGCTGGATATCGGGAGGATGATTCAGATGTTCAGAAAATGCTAATGGTTATCACAGATGGGGAACAAACTAGAGAATCAGTTCGAAGAGGATACGTTTATGTTGGGGATGCAATGAAAACTTTCTTCAATAGAAATATGAATGTCTTTGCGATTGGTGTTGGACTCAAAAATGATGATGCAAGGAACCAAGTTAGAGATATGGTAGAATATCCAGAAAACGCAATTCTTGCTGCTAACTTTAGTGATCTACTCCAGAAATTTGAACTCATTATCAAGAAATTTTGCCCAGGTAATCTTTGATTATATAAAAACAGTAAAATTATGTTTTTAGAGCAAAATTATATACCGGTACTTCAGGCTAAATCCAGTTAACCTTGTTTTTTATTTTAGTATCTGACATATGTGGAACACCACTAGACGACTGCAGTCCATTTGCTACATGTGCCGACACAGGACCTGGAACCTACACGTGTACCTGTAACGAAGGATATACGGGAGATGGAAAATTTTGCGAAGGTATTTATTTTGTGAAAATGAGAAATAATTGATTGTATACAAAAAATTTGTATAGAAGTGTATGCATCTATTTATGGTACAGCTACTTATGGTATACCTGTATCTTTATTCTGACAATCGTTTTTAGAGAGATTTAAGATTCAACAATTTGAATTAAGTTATTAAATTGTCCAAATTTTATGATATAAGAGTGCTGATGGTTGATAGGATTTTTCTCGATTTTTCCCAACTGCTTCCGGTTAGATCTAACAATTCTATAAATTCAACTCGATTTTCCAGTCGAGATTTTATATGTATCAATCGAAATAATATTTATGTCTGTCATCTTGTTTTCATTATCATAATGGGCAACTCTGCCAAAGGGGTGGAGGAAATCTGCTCTGAAGAGATAAAACTTTGTCTGTAGGCCAATAATTTAACAGATGGAACAATTAGATCACTTTCAGGGTGCTTTCATATAAGACACACTTAAACGTACTTTTCAAGTTAGCCGCTTCAAGTCAGCTGGCGAAGCAAGTCATCAATCGAAATAATATTTAACCAGCGAGATGCACAAAAATGAGAAATATATCTGAAATTTTTTCCAATAATCTTTTGTTACTGTATTAATTCGATCATTTCATCACCAACTTCATAATTGTTTCCTCTAGCGATCAAAATATGTGGAACACCACAAGACGACTGCAGTGAATTTGCTACATGTACTAATACAGGACCAGGAACCTACACGTGTACCTGTAATGAAGGGTACACTGGGGATGGAAAAACTTGTGAAGGTATGACAAAGATAAAAATTGAGAGTGCGCAAGTTAATTTTAAAAAAATTGAATGCACAAGTGCCACTATCAAACATGGATGAGGGAATAAAATAGTTTATGCAATTAGTATAAATATGATGTTAAATTGTAGTCTGGGGCTATACTTTTGGAAGTGATGGACTGAAGGAACCTAGAAGGATAATAAGAAAAATCACTGCAAAGTTTATCACCGATTTTTTTCGGTAAAAGTGGTACCCTCATTAATGCATAGTAGGGGAGAAATTGTATGATTTTTGGAAACGTGCGCGAGTGTGAATAAATCCAAGTACTGAATGAGATATTGATAAAAAGAGAACAACAACCATCCCTTTGGGTTCTAAACGATCTGACATCTGGCAACTCACGCTCGATTTCCAAATCTATCCTTCAACAGCTTGTTAAAAATTCAAAAAGATTGTTCAAAATTCAAAAAGATTGTTCGTTTATCACTCCTTCATCCACCATATCACACTGGAATGTCTAGGAGATTTCCACCGTTATTATATCAGCCTAACTATGGATTAAATATTCAATTAATTGCTTAAATCCTCAATGTATTTTTCCAAAAAAAAGTAAAACCAGTTTTTAAATTAAGAATCCATTGATATCTCAGGCAACAGCCCTATTTGATGATTACCAGCAAATCTTGAGTAATATGGTCCGCTCACATACACGTTTTCTTCTCCGTGTCGGGATTACCATTTACATTCCCGGACTGTTCGGAAATTTCAGATGAAAATCCCCTATACCATTTTCTTTTCCGACCCCGAGGTAAATAATGGTAACCTCCCCAGAAATCTACTAAACTCGACTAAAATTATGTCTTAATTCCCTAAAAAATTATATTTAATATAAAATTATCTAGACTTTGTCCTATTCTTCATTATCACTATTTAGTGCTATATAGGGTTGCTATAATTATATTTATGTCATTGCCCCTCAATTTATTGTCTTAATTATATTTTTTCTAGAAATCAAAATATGTGGAACACCACAAGAAGACTGCAGTGAATTTGCTACATGTGCTGACACAGGACCTGGAACCTACAAGTGTACCTGTAATGAAGGATACACTGGGGATGGAAAAACATGCAAAGGTTTATATTCTGAAGATATAATTTTCAGTTCATAAAATTTCAATATGTCTATAGATTCCATATTGCATAACGTCATATCTTATCTGGATATTAGAGGGTATTTGGAACCTACATTAGAAGTTTACACAGCTCTCTTTATTAATATGGTCGTTTAACATACTGTAGCAATCAAAATATGTGGAACACCGCAAGACGACTGCAGTGAATTTGCTACATGTACTGACACAGGACCTGGAACCTACACGTGTACCTGTAATGAAGGATACACTGGTGATGGAAAAACCTGCGAAGGTAAATTAGAGGTTGGAAAGAGACAACTATAGTCATCTCTATTAGCCATTTCCCAATCGAGCAGGGTACTAAGTCTAGTCGCGAACCGCAAATAGACTGTTTGGAAGAACAAATGTAATAATTTGTAATCATTTGTCCCTCCAAACAGTCCATAGATGCTTTGCGGTAGACCCAATACCCTGCTCGATTGGGAAATGGCTAATAATCGAACTAGGCATCCTGATTAAACTGCCTGAAATGCCATTAAACTGCTTGAAATGCCTTTACTATTTCATGCTCACATCGGATTAGAGAGTTACTTCGTCTTACAATGATACGCCTTTTGACATTTCTTTGTTCCCCAACTAGGAATCAATGTTTGTGGAACTCCACAGGAGGATTGCAGTGAATATGCAAAATGTACTGATACAGGACCTGGAACATATGTTTGCACCTGTAACGAAGGATACACTGGAGACGGGAAAACATGCGAAGGTTTTTATTTTCTGCTTATTTCCATCACTCGCAAGATGAAAGATTAATGAACAATTTCGTTTTCCAGGCTCTTTTTAGTCAAATCTACTTTTCATTAATCTTGACATTTAAAAATATTTACCTATTTGTTTAGAAATCAAAATATGCGGAACTCCACAAGATGACTGCAGTGAATTCGCAACATGCGCTAATACAGGACCCGGGAAATATAGTTGCACTTGCAAAGAAGGATACACTGGAGATGGAAAAACCTGTGAAGGTAAATAAGAATATGGAGTCGTATGAATTCATCCTGTAATGTGACAAGCTTATGAATCATAAACTTTTCATATTTTTCCCTCATTTTCCCCTTAGAAATCAAAATATGCGGAACACCACAAGAAGACTGCAGTGAATTTGCTACATGTGCTGATACAGGACCTGGAACCTACAAGTGTACCTGTAATGAAGGATACACTGGTGATGGAAAAACTTGCGAAGGTTCCTATTTTTGACGAAGTGTCATTCCATTTTTTTAAAAAAAAATATTAGCCATCTTTAGGATTCTAAGGACTTGGACCACGTATTTTTCACGTATTCCTGAAATAAATAAATAAATTGTGAAATACTTGCCTTTTTTATTATCTAGCAATGAAAATATGTGGAACACCACGGGATGACTGCAGTGAATTTGCTACATGTGCTGACACAGGACCTGGAACCTACACGTGTACCTGTAAAGAAGGATATACTGGTGATGGAAAAACTTGCGAAGGTAGGAACAGATAATTAATTAAATACCAGTTGTTCCTAACTTGTATTTATACCCAAGCTATTCTCTTTGTCTCACGCGATCATTTTTGTGACTTTGTTTATTCTCAATGCCTAATTCATTATACTATACGTGTTCTCTTAAAGCAATCAAACTATTTGGAACATCACAAGCCGACTGCAGTGAATTTTTTACATAGAATAAATAAATAAATTGTGAAATACCTACCTTTCTTATTATCTAGTAATGAAAATATGTGGAACTCCACGGGATGACTGCAGTGAATTTGCTACATGTGCTGACACAGGACCTGGAACCTACACGTGTACCTGTAATGAAGGATACACTGGGAATGGAAAAACATGCAAAGGTATTGCTAAAATTATTAGAAAATGTTTTTGTTGTGAGGAGGAAATATGTCATCCCAATTAACGCTGTCTCTGCTTTATTTGTATTTAAGGTGTAATTATCGAGTTTACTAAGAAAATTTATGGTGGTAGAGAGGGCAAGCCTGCTTACACTGACATGGTTTTAACATCAGGTGATATCTCCGTGCCTATAACCATACGGTAAGCAACGCGCCTATGATCTACTGAATATTAATGGCCCTCGATTTAACTACATGAGGGTATAACAACTGCCTAAAATAAACAAAACACTTCTCGACGTTTCGACCTGAGGGTCAAAGGAGAGTTAGGTATGAAAATAAATAGCGGAGAACACATGTTTTGTGTGGGGTCCAAACACGTGCTAAAAATAGGCCAATAGAAAATGGGCCATTTTTGTCACGTGTTTATAGCCCCTATGGAAAACATGTGTTCTCCCCTATTTATTTTCATACTAACTCTCCTGACGAAGGCCCTCAGGTCGAAACGTCGAGAAGTGTTTTGTCTAATTTAGGCAGTTGTTATACCACATTTGATGCTAAGTTGTTTGAAGACGCTGCCACGCTGTTCCCTGGTTATACTGCAACGTATCTCCTTCTTTCGATTTAAAAAGCATTTTCAGCCACGAGCAGAGAAGTGGTGACGAATAGATTTTAAATAAGTGGTAAAAATCGTCCCACCTGATATATATAAATGACGAATACCATGCATACTTAATATTGTTACTAACTATGAGTTTGTGGACAAATAATTTGTGATAAGTACAAGCAAATACGACCTAAATAGTATTATGGTTTGCAACACAAAATGAATAAATTATAGTGAAATAACTCTTGATTTTCATCAAACTTCGGTGTTACAAAGAGTAAACTTTGAAGACTGCATGAAGAAGCCTTGAGGACTCTCACGTTAAGCACAATAACAAGGTTTCAAAAACTTACAGCGAACAATTAGTATGACAAACTTGGATTTACGCCTAATATAATAATTATCATTATTCAGTTATTATTACAAATACTTTTAAGCCTATAATCTTATATGTTTCCTTTCACAGTGTAACAAAAACTCCTAAAACAGCCGGAAACAAAGATTACGATCCTCAACCGGTGGATATCACATTTCAACCAGGCGAAACAGGACCAAAGCGGATTCCAATTAACTTAGTGGACGACGATGTCGCTGAACCCAACGAAGAATTCACCATCACCCTATCATCTTCGTCACCCGGAGTTACTGTGGGTGAACCTGCGACTGTTGTCATTAAAGATAATGATAAATCAGGTATTTTCCGCTTCATGAAGAACCTACTGTAACTAACTACATTTTTCGTTCTTAACGACGTATTGTTTGTCATTACAAGAACTTTACATGATAATTTTTAATTTTGCTTTTGGTCTTCCAGCACCGTGCAAACCAAAAACAGACGTCATCTTGGTACTCGACAGATCTGGTAGTATTTCACCAGCGGATTACGACAAAATGCGGGAATTTGTTAAAGAAATAGGAAAAGAATTGAAAGTCGGCGAAAGAAATGAAAAAGGAGAAATCATTGGACAGGCTGCCATAGTTACCTTTAGTGAAGAAGGAGAGAAAAGACTAACGTTAGCAGAAAGCCAAGATTCAAAGAAATTCTATGACACAGTAACTAACATGCCTGGACCTTTATCAGGCGGCCGAACAAAAACACATCGTGGCATAAAAGTTGCAGATAAAGAAATTGCTATTAAAGAAGCTGGATATCGGGAGGATGATCCAGATGTTAAGAAAATGCTAATGGTTATCACAGATGGGGAACAAACTAGAGAATCAGTTCGAAGGGGATACGTTTATGTTGGAGATGCAATGAAACCTCTCTTCGATAAAAATATGGATGTTTTTGCGATTGGTGTTGGACTCGACAATGATGATGCGAAGAACCAAGTTAGAGATATGGTGGAATATCCAGAAAACGCTATCCTTGCTTCTAACTTTAGTGATCTCTTGCACAGAGTTGGAGGCATCATCAGGAAACTTTGTCCAGGTAAGCATGATGATACGGTACATTAGTATTATTTCATCATATATATCTATAATGTGATATTTGGTATCGTAGTAGATAAAGTGATATTTGGTATCATTTCGCAATAGAGACGATAAACAGTAAACGATATTGGAATTAAATATAATTTACCCTATTTATAGTTACTGACATTTGTGGAACACCGGAAGATTACTGCAGTCCATTTGCTACATGTGCTGACACTGGACCTGGAACCTACACGTGTACCTGCAACGAAGGATATACGGGAAATGGAACAACTTGTGAAGGTAAGAATAGATATATCTAGGGTGCTTCCCATTTTCTTTGGTAAATCGGAAATTCCGGTCGAAAAAGCAAATGGTATAAGGAATTTCCATAGGAAAGTCAGGAAATTTTAGAATTTTCGATGTAAATTCCTGGTACCGTTTGATTTTCCGACTGGAATTTCCGATTGGGTAAATTCCCTTGGGTAAATGGTAAGCAGTCCTAGACAACAATATTAAGTAGTCTAATTGGACGACTTGCGCTTTAGACTTATTTTTTACCTCGGCGATAAAAAGGACATTTTCTGAAAGAGCTTACTAAAATGAGTAAAACTGCCAAGTTTGGCTGCGAGTTGTTGTAAATTACAGAAAATATAGCCATGCGAAGTTCACGAATTTTGTATACTTTTGTGTTACGGCCGGAAGTTTGTAACTAATTTAGTTGCACATTTCCGCACGTAATACAAAAGTATACATATTTGCCAACTTCGCATGGCTATATTTTCCGTATTTTACAAAATTTCGCAGCCAAACTTTGCATTTGCACTAATTTAAGTATGTTCTTTCTAGCTGTGATGATTTATTTTCTTCTAGTTACTTCGATCAAAAATTAGTCTAAAGCGCAAGTCGTACAATACGAAAGCTGGATAGCGCTATCAACCGAATAGTGATTTTTTCAACCGTTCTAAAAATGCTCGGAAAACGATAAAATTTCATCTTTGGAACCAACAATTATTAAAGAGGATTCTCGATTTAGAAATACTAAGATTTAATCAAAGTTATAGCAAACAACGGGCGATTTGAAAGCGATTGAAAAATCACTATCCGGTGGATAGCGCTATCCGGCTTTCATGCAAACGGTCCCAGATCCACGAAAAAACGCAATTTAGACTAAGTAGTAAGACTGTAAACCGTAATTTTGCCTCATAAATTCTTTTGACGTATGGCACTTACTGTCTTATCACACGTATCACACACTATAATATGATGCCGAAATGGCTTGTTGATTTCTCAGCAGTTGAAAAATGTGTTAGTCCGAAAGATGATTGCAGTGAGTTTGCTACATGCACGAATACTGGTCCAGGCAGTTATATTTGTACTTGCAATTCTGGCTATACTGGCGACGGATACAAATTTTGTAAAGGTTAGCAAGTTTTTCCTTTACACAAAAGAGCGAACGACATATAAAAAGCTATAGTGCTTCGTATTCGATATTCGTTTTTTGCGTCGGGACTTTGAAACAATGGGCAAAAGTGTAATATTTTTTAAAAATTGTAGCTATATGTAGGCAAATTTAGAGATAATTTTGTGTGCTTCGTATATTGTAATTCGTTTTGCAATTGTAACTGTCTTTCAGAAATCGATGTATGTGGAACACCGGAGGATGACTGTAGTGAATTTGCTACATGCAAAAACACAGGTCCTGGGACTTACACCTGCACCTGTAACGAAGGATACTCCGGGGACGGGAAAATATGCGATGGTAAATAGGCTACTGAAAAATAAAACATAAAAGATCTAGTGACATATAATATCTGTTAGTTAAAAATTATGATTTCCTTAGAGGCATAACTGCATTATATCCATAACTATTGAGGGCTGGTCTCTGGCGATAAATATATTCAGGTTCTGTAAAAAGTAATAAAGACCGATGTCTGGATTTGTCTCATATTCTATAAAGTTGTTGAGATGACCGATTCAAGGCCAAAGTCTTTTAGGATGAATAGTGTATGAGGAAGATATCATATATAGTGGAAGAAAGTAGCCATTTGCTGGGGCTTGACCCAATATGATGAAAAAGATAATGGTAAAACATAAAAAGAGTAAACGTACCTATATGGAGAGCGCCTTCAAAAATTTGGTTTCTCTAAAGTATCTTTAAAATTCCTAATGAAATGAAATTGAATTTTCTTTATTTAAAATGCCTTGGCTAGACCTTATAATTTTTTCCTAAAAAATGAAATGAAATATTAATTTCCTCACCATTTCCATTTATAAAGAATCCCGTATCAGTGAACTATTTAGTCGATGTTTAATAACATTTTAATCGTGATGACAAGGGTCTGGATATTACGCCTGTCCTTGTAGCGAGAAATATGCAGGGTATGAAAAAGGCTGTAAAGGTAAAAAGTTTTAAAAAACGAAATCCATTTCATGTTTAACCAGAGAGCATTGTGGTTGCGTCTATGCATAATTTCCTATCGAATAACAATTTCCTAATAAAAAAAAACTTCTCGACGTTTCGATAGAGTCGGGAGTGTGGAGCAGAATATTTGGGAGGGGAAACACGTGATAAAGGTTGACCAATAAATGAAGATAGACAAAATAGGAAATGTATATTTGAACAAAAATGTAATCCGATTTCCTATATTTCTGTCTTAACCGGTTATCTAACTTGTCAGATTTCGAATTCGATTAATACACCAGACAGAAATCAAAATTATAAACTGAAAATTAAAGCCCAGCAAATAATTTTCAAACAAGACATAACAAAATGTAAAATTAACTTTTTGGCTAACGTTTCGTTGTATTGTTCACAACGTCTTCAGAGCATGAGTTGACAGGAATGATTCGAATGAATTATATATGCACAAATATTTAAAAAAAAAAGGGTGGAACATTTATATAAGGGAATAAGAGGAAAAGATAAAAATGATATATTAGTAAAAATTTTTGGAACCACCGAGTCTTACATTGAGTATACGAAACAATGGTTCAACAACTCGAAAAAACAGTTACTTTTTGATATCATTCATCTGCGTTTCGACTAATTTTCAGTAATCGATAATCAGGATATCGATAAACTAGCCAAGGTTATAACATCAAATCCAGTGTTTATATAGATAGGATTAGGAATATGATATACAGGAAAATAATTTATAGTTCAATATATGATTAATTCTTCAGTCGTGGCTTTAATTCAGGATTAAGTTCTCGCCTGCGAAAGATTCTTGGTATAGCACTAATAGTAGAAGAGACCGATGGTTGCATGAATTTGTTTGAATGGTTGCATCAATTTTATTTGCTTATTTGTTCAAACAGAGAATACGTTGTTTAAACATGACTATATTTAATCGAAGTTTAAATAAGTATAATTTGAATATTATTTTTGGAGTCAACTTTTATATTCATAGTAGATAGTTAGTTATTTCTACAAAACAAAGTAGGTCAAGTAGAGTTGACCTAATGTTGGCAGTACTGACAAGATTAAGCTTGCATAAGAGAATGCTATTTTGAACAAGTAGATCCACTTCAGAAATCCAGTGGAAAGTGACTGAAAATTAATCGAAATGTAGTGAAATATTATGTTTTGTGGTATCGATGTGAGCTAGTATGCCTGTTATGTTAGAAGCAGAACGTTTCTTCCCAGTCAAAGGTGAAATTCCATGTGTTCAAGAGTTTCGTGTGTGTACATGCCGACATGTTTGACCAACATACCATGCACTTCAGAATTGACACATCTATAAATACACAACATGCGATCTCAGATAATCTCAGATCTGTCTTTGAATGAAAAGAAATTCAAAAGACGAAATAAACGGAAAACGAAGGAAAATGAGTGGATAGGCAGAGGAGATAAATTTCTGTAGCTAAGAGTAAAGTTACTAAACAGGAATATATCATTTTTTTTCGAGCAAGTGTGAGCTGTTTTTTGAGAATTATAAATTATATCACTAGATAAAACAATACTAGGAAACGTTGCCAATAAAAATATTACGCTTTGTTATGTCACGTTTTGACGGCATTTTTTTAATTCAGTCTTATTTATTTCAAGAAATAAAGATATGTGGAACTCCGTTGGACGACTGCAGTGAATATGCTACATGTTTGGACATACAAGCGGGCATCTACGAATGTACCTGTAATGAAGGATATACAGGGGATGGAAAAACATGTACAGGTGAAAAATGATATGAGATTATTTTAGGTATTAAAATTTCATTAACCATGCAAACGTGCTAAATATATATGACAGCAATCCGAGCCAGTTTATCGTTGCATATATTACTGTGAATTATTTGGCACGAACTACTTTTATCATCAACAGATATCAACGAGTGTTTGACAGATCCTTGTGACCCAAATGCCCAGTGCACTGATACTGCAGATTCTTTTACATGTACGTGTAACACAGGCTATACAGGAAATGGATTTACTTGCACAAGTATGTATCTTATTGAACTATTAAAATACCTTTAATTTTTGTTGTACAGCCGTGACAATAGTACAAATTTGATGCAAATTACAAATTCCTTAAGAAGTTTCCAAGTTAGTTTATCCTGAAGAATGAACCCTGTCTTTATGTAAACGTTTTTACTGATTTATTTCAGATATCGACGAATGTACGGAATTGAGTCCTTGTAGTGCCGATGCGACCTGCAATGACACTCCTGGTTCTTTCACGTGTTCTTGTAACACAGGTTTCACAGGAAATGGACTAACATGTGCAGGTAAGGCGGTAGTTTATTTCTCATGCATACCAGACAAGAATTAAATGGAGAATCATATTATAATCTCTTAAAAAGGAGAAGGTACTTTGTTTGAAATTTCGCTATTAACTGGCACTTTAGAAAAAATAATAATTGAAAAAATCAATACTTATTATAGTTTTATAGAAATCTCTGCTCGATCTTGCTTGGAATGTCTTGCAGCAGAACTAACCGTTTTATAAGATATTTTCTATGGTAAAGGAATATTTTTTTTCTTTATTTAGACATAAATGAATGTGATGATAACCCATGTGACACAAACGCTAAATGTGTAAATACAGAAGGCAGTTATGATTGTGATTGTAACTCTGGATTCGCAGGAGACGGAAATACCTGTCTTAGTAAGTAAAATTTTCTATTTCAGTTTATTGACTTTCACGTTATACAAATTGCGTTGATTTTGGTACATTTACATGCGCATTTCAAGAGCTCGCTATCTCACACTAAGCAAGATCAACCTTGCATATATTACATGACGGTATTTTAACTGGATAAATGCGAACATGGGTTTATGCATTTTACCCATGATCTTTTGATTCTTTTCATTCATTCTGGAAGGAATCCTCTACTGTTGTTTAGGAGCTTAGCTTCTCTGCCATGTTCAATGATTTTTAGTTTGAATGAACATTTTGAATTCAGTCGTTATATTTGGGTATATGCATGGTACCTTACAATTGTACCGAGGCCGGCTACGTTTCATGCACCTTTTGTGGGATTGGCGGTTGTTGACCCTTGCCAGTAAACATTATTCCTACAAATTTTTCGATATAAAGAGCTTGGGTCAGTCTGGGTATGACGATACTATGACGATACTCAATGAGTGTCCATGCACTGACAGTCACCTAGTATAATGGTACACTCACACTCCAACTACAAGTATAACGACAGTTTAAATATTTTCAATACCTTCCATCATTAAATACTAATCAACATGAAAGCTTAACTCCAGCAAGTCAAACTCGAGTGAGCTCTTTGAATACAAATAAATCAACCTAAATACTTTCAAGCGCGAGTGCCGCCTCGTTAAGTGGCCATTCACACTCATACTCAACTCTCACTCGCACTTCAGTTCCCCTTGAGTGCATCTCACTGGATCGCGCTCAAGTGTAAGTGCGAGTGAGCTTTTAGAATACAGGCGTAAACTTTACATGCTATATAGCAACTGGGCCACATTCAAATATGAAAATTTTCAGGATGCGTTAATATTATTGAAAATCAAGTTCTTGATTAAGGGTTTGTCTCATTTGTCACCTTCATACCATTTGTGTAGATATTAATGAGTGCGAAGATAATCCATGCCATACCCATGCCACTTGCACAGATACACTTGGCTCCTACATGTGTACCTGTAATGAAGGTTATACCGGAGATGGAAAAACGTGTGAAGGTAAAAACAAATTCAAATGCCTGTTGTGCTCGTTTACATTCGCCCCACCTATTTCTACTATACCCAACATCTGCTCATTTTTACGTTTTCATTTCTATTTTTTTTTAAAATACCAATTCATTATCCTGCGTATTTAATTTTTAAGAAATCAAAATATGCGGAACACCACAAGACGACTGCAGTGAATTTGCTACATGTGCTGACACAGGACCTGGAACCTACACATGTACCTGTAATGAAGGATACACTGGTGATGGAAAAACATGCGAAGGTAAAAACAAATTTAAAACCTGACGTGTATTGCTGATACCTAGTTGATCTCCACTCCTGCTTTTGCGCGCTAATTTTTGTAACTTTGTTCATTCTAAAAATCTGTTTCATTAACTATGTTTTCTCTTCAAGAAATAAAAATATGCGGAACACCACAAGACGACTGCAGTGAATTTGCTACATGTTCTAACACAGGACCTGGAACCTACTCGTGTACCTGTAATGAAGGATACACTGGTGATGGAAAAACATGCGAAGGTAAAAACATTTATTCATAACTCTTGTTCCTAATACATGCAAACTATTCTTTTTCGGTAACACACGTAGCTTTGTTCATTCCCAAAGTCCAATTCATTATACTGCACGCTTTTTTTTAAGAAATCAATATATGTGGAACACCACAAGACGACTGCAGTGAATTTGCTACATGTGCTGACACAGGACCTGGAACCTACACGTGTACCTGTAATGAAGGATACACTGGTGATGGAAAAACATGCGAAGGTAAAAACAAATTTAAAACCTGTATTGCTGATATCGAGTTGCTCTTAACCCTGCTTTGCGCGCTAATTTTTGTAACTTCGTTCATTCTAAAAATCCATTTCATTAACTATGTTTTCTCTTCAAGAAATCAAAATATGTGGAACACCACAAGACGACTGCAGTGAATTTGCTACATGTTCTAACACAGGACCTGGAACCTACTCGTGTACCTGTAATGAAGGATACACTGGTGATGGAAAAACATGCGAAGGTAAAAACAAATTTAAAACCTGTATTGCTGATATCCAGTTGTTTTTAACCCCTGCTTTTGCGCGCTAATCTTTGTAACTTTCTTCTTTCTTAAAATCCATTTCATTAACTATGTTTTCTCTTCAAGAAATAAAAATATGCGGAACACCACAAGACGACTGCAGTGAATTTGCTACATGTTCTAACACAGGACCTGGAACCTACTCGTGTACCTGTAATGAAGGATACACTGGTGATGGAAAAACATGCGAAGGTAAAAACATTTATTCATAACTCTTGTTCCTAATACATGCAAACTATTCTTTTTCGGTAACACACGTAGCTTTAATCATTCCCAAAGTCCAATTCATTATACTGCACGATTTTTTTTAAGAAATCAAAATATGTGGAACACCACAAGAAGACTGCAGTGAATTTGCTACATGTGCTGACACAGGACCTGGAACCTACTCGTGTACCTGTAATGAAGGATACACTGGGGATGGAAAAACATGCGAAGGTAAAAACAAATTTAAAACTTGTATTCTTGATATCGAGTTGCTCTTAACGCCTACTTTGCGCGCTAATTTTTTTAACTTCGTTCATTCTAAAAATCCATGTCATTACCTATGTTTTCTCTTCAAGAAATCAAAATATGTGGAACACCACAAGACGACTGCAGTGAATTTGCCACATGTTCTAACACAGGACCTGGAACCTACTCGTGTACCTGTAATGAAGGATACACTGGTGATGGAAAAACATGCGAAGGTAAAAACAAATTTAAAACCTGTATTGCTGATACCCAGTTGCTCTAAAGTCCTGCTTTTGCGCCGTAATCTTTTTAACTTTGTTCATTCTAAAGATGCGTTTCATCAACTATGTTTTCTCTTCAAGAAATCAAAATATGTGGAACACCACAAGACGACTGCAGTGAATTTGCCACATGTTCTAACACAGGACCTGGAACCTATTCTTGTACCTGTAATGAAGGATACACTGGTGATGGAAAAACATGCGAACGTAAAAACAATTTAAAATATCCATTTTACCGATCGAGTTGCTCCTAACTACTGTTTCTACCACACACAAGTTATCTTATTTTCTAACGCGTTCGTTTTTCTAACTTTCTTTATTTCTCAAAGTCCAACTCATTATACTACGTCTTCTCTTTCAGAAATCAAAATATGTGGAACACCACAAGACGACTGCAGTGAATTTGCTACATGCGCTGACACAGGACCTGGAACCTACACGTGTACCTGTAAAGAAGGATACACTGGTGATGGAAAAACATGCGAAGGTAAATAAATTTATTCATAATTCTGGTTCCTAATACACACAAAGTATTCTTTTTCGGTAACACGTTCATTTCCGTAACTTGGTTCATTCCCGGAGTCCAATTGATTATACTGCACGATTTTCTTTAAGAAATCGATATATGTGGAACACCACAAGACGACTGCAGTGAATTTGCTACATGTTCTAACACAGGACCTGGAACCTACTCGTGTACCTGTAATGAAGGATACACTGGTGATGGAAAAACATGCGAAGGTAAAAACAATTTAAAAATATCCGCTGTACCCAGTTGCTCATAACACCCGTTTTTACCATACACAAGCTATCTTATTTTCTAACGTGTTCACTTTTCTAACTTTGCTCATTTCAAAGTTCAATTCATCATACTAAGTCTTCTCTTTCAGATATCAAAATATGTGGAACACCACAAGACGACTGCAGTGAATTTGCCACATGTTCTAACACAGGACCTGGAACCTATTCTTGTACCTGTAATGAAGGATACACTGGTGATGGAAAAACATGCGAACGTAAAAACAATTTAAAAATATTCATTTTACCGATCGAGTTGCTCCTAACTACTGTTTCTACCACACACAAGTTATCTTATTTTCTAACGCGTTCGTTTTTCTAACTTTCTTTATTTCTCAAAGTTCAACTTATTATACTACGTCTTCTCTTTCAGAAATCAAAATATGTGGAACACCACAAGACGACTGTAGTGAATTTGCTACATGTGCTGACACAGGACCTGGAACTTACACGTGTACCTGTAATGAAGGATACACTGGTGATGGAAAAACTTGCGAAGGTAAAAACAAATTTGAAACCTGTATTGCTGATACCCAGTTGCTTTTAACCCCTGCTTTTGCGCGCTAATTTTTGTAACGTTCTTTATTCTAAAAATCAATTTTATTAACTATGTTTTCTCTTCAAGAAATCAAAATATGCGGAACACCACAAGACGACTGCAGTGAATTTGCTACATGTTCTAACACAGGACCTGGAACCTACTCGTGTACCTGTAATGAAGGATACACTGGTGATGGAAAAACATGCGAAGGTAAAAACATTTATTCATAACTCTTGTTCCTAATACATGCAAACTATTCTTTTTCGGTAACACACGTAGCTTTAATCATTCCCAAAGTCCAATTCATTATACTGCACGATTTTTTTTAAGAAATCAAAATATGTGGAACACCACAAGAAGACTGCAGTGAATTTGCTACATGTGCTGACACAGGACCTGGAACCTACTCGTGTACCTGTAATGAAGGATACACTGGGGATGGAAAAACATGCGAAGGTAAAAACAAATTTAAAACTTGTATTCTTGATATCGAGTTGCTCTTAACGCCTACTTTGCGCGCTAATTTTTTTAACTTCGTTCATTCTAAAAATCCATGTCATTACCTATGTTTCTCTTCAAGAAATCAAAATATGTGGAACACCACAAGACGACTGCAGTGAATTTGCCACATGTTCTAACACAGGACCTGGAACCTACTCGTGTACCTGTAATGAAGGATACACTGGTGATGGAAAAACATGCGAAGGTAAAAACAAATTTAAAACCTGTATTGCTGATACCCAGTTGCTCTAAAGTCCTGCTTTTGCGCCGTAATCTTTTTAACTTTGTTCATTCTAAAGATGCGTTTCATCAACTATTTTCTCTTCAAGAAATCAAAATATGTGGAACACCACAAGACGACTGCAGTGAATTTGCCACATGTTCTAACACAGGACCTGGAACCTATTCTTGTACCTGTAATGAAGGATACACTGGTGATGGAAAAACATGCGAACGTAAAAACAATTTAAAATATCCATTTTACCGATCGAGTTGCTCCTAACTACTGTTTCTACCACACACAAGTTATCTTATTTTCTAACGCGTTCGTTTTTCTAACTTTCTTTATTTCTCAAAGTCCAACTCATTATACTACGTCTTCTCTTTCAGAAATCAAAATATGTGGAACACCACAAGACGACTGCAGTGAATTTGCTACATGCGCTGACACAGGACCTGGAACCTACACGTGTACCTGTAAAGAAGGATACACTGGTGATGAAAAACATGCGAAGGTAAATAAATTTATTCATAATTCTGGTTCCTAATACACACAAAGTATTCTTTTTCGGTAACACGTTCATTTCCGTAACTTGGTTCATTCCCGGAGTCCAATTGATTATACTGCACGATTTTCTTTAAGAAATCGATATATGTGGAACACCACAAGACGACTGCAGTGAATTTGCTACATGTTCTAACACAGGACCTGGAACCTACTCGTGTACCTGTAATGAAGGATACACTGGTGATGGAAAAACATGCGAAGGTAAAAACAATTTAAAATATCCGCTGTACCCAGTTGCTCATAACACCCGTTTTTACCATACACAAGCTATCTTATTTTCTAACGTGTTCACTTTTCTAACTTTGCTCATTTCAAAGTTCAATTCATCATACTAAGTCTTCTCTTTCAGATATCAAAATATGTGGAACACCACAAGACGACTGCAGTGAATTTGCCACATGTTCTAACACAGGACCTGGAACCTATTCTTGTACCTGTAATGAAGGATACACTGGTGATGGAAAAACATGCGAACGTAAAAACAATTTAAAATATTCATTTTACCGATCGAGTTGCTCCTAACTACTGTTTCTACCACACACAAGTTATCTTATTTTCTAACGCGTTCGTTTTTCTAACTTTCTTTATTTCTCAAAGTTCAACTTATTATACTACGTCTTCTCTTTCAGAAATCAAAATATGTGGAACACCACAAGACGACTGTAGTGAATTTGCTACATGTGCTGACACAGGACCTGGAACTTACACGTGTACCTGTAATGAAGGATACACTGGTGATGGAAAAACTTGCGAAGGTAAAAACAAATTTGAAACCTGTATTGCTGATACCCAGTTGCTTTTAACCCCTGCTTTTGCGCGCTAATTTTTGTAACGTTCTTTATTCTAAAAATCAATTTTATCAACTATGTTTTCTCTTCAAGAAATCAAAATATGCGGAACACCACAAGACGATTGCAGTGAATTTGCTACATGTTCTAACACAGGACCTGGAACCTACTCGTGTACCTGTAATGAAGGATACACTGGTGATGGAAAAACATGCGAACGTAAAAACAATTTAAAATATTCATTTTACCGATCGAGTTGCTCCTAACTACTGTTTCTACCACACACAAGTTATCTTATTTTCTAACGCGTTCGTTTTTCTAACTTTCTTTATTTCTCAAAGTTCAACTTATTATACTACGTCTTCTCTTTCAGAAATCAAAATATGTGGAACACCACAAGACGACTGTAGTGAATTTGCTACATGTGCTGACACAGGACCTGGAACTTACACGTGTACCTGTAATGAAGGATACACTGGTGATGGAAAAACTTGCGAAGGTAAAAACAAATTTGAAACCTGTATTGCTGATACCCAGTTGCTTTTAACCCCTGCTTTTGCGCGCTAATTTTTGTAACGTTCTTTATTCTAAAAATCAATTTTATTAACTATGTTTTCTCTTCAAGAAATCAAAATATGCGGAACACCACAAGACGATTGCAGTGAATTTGCTACATGTTCTAACACAGGACCTGGAACCTACTCGTGTACCTGTAATGAAGGATACACTGGTGATGGAAAAACATGCGAACGTAAAAACAATTTAAAATATCCATTTTACTGAGTTGCTCCTAACTGCTGTTTCTACAATACACAAGTTATCTTATTTTCTAACGCGTTCATTTTTCTAACTTTCTTCATTCTCAAAGTCCGACTCATTATACTACGCCTTCTCTTTCAGAAATAAAAATATGCGGAACACCACAAGACGACTGCAGTGAATATGCTACATGTGCTGACACAGGACCTGGAACCTACACGTGTACCTGTAATGAAGGATACACTGGTGATGGAAAAACATGCGAAGGTATATACATTTATATATGACTCCTGTTCCAAAACACACGAACTATTTTCTTTCCCGAACGCTTTCATTTCCGTAACTTTGTTCATTTTCAAAGTCCAATAATTCATTATGCTACACGTTTTCTTTCAGAAATCAAAATATGTGGAACACCACAAGAAGACTGCAGTGAATTTGCTACATGTGCTGACACAGGACCTGGAACGTACAGTTGTACCTGTAATGAAAGATATACTGGGGATGGAAAAACTTGCGAAGGTGAGACAAATATTTCAAGTACCTGTTGCACTAAGTTGCCCGTTACTCGTATTTTTACTACATTCAAGCTATCTTTTCTCTATCTGAGATTATACTACATGTAATTATACTACGTGTATTATTAAGAAATCAAAATTTGTGGAACACCACAAGAAGACTGCAGTGAATTTGGTACATGTGCATATACAAGCTATCTTATTTTCTTACGCGTTCATTATTCTAACTTTATTATTTTTCAAAGTCCAATAATTCATTATGCTACACGTTTTCTTTAAGAAATCAAAATATGTGGAACACCACAAGAAGACTGCAGTGAATTTGCTACATGTGCTGACACAGGACCTGGAACCTACACGTGTACCTGCAATGAAGGATACACTGGGGATGGAAAAACTTGCGAAGGTATACACATTTATATATGACTCTTGCTCCAAAACACACGAACTATTTTCTTTCCCGAACGCTTTCATTTTTGTAACTTTGTTCTTTTTTAAAGTCCAATAATTCATTTTGCTACACGTTTTCTTTCAGAAATCAAAATATGTGGAACACCACAAGACGACTGTAGTGAATTTGCAACATGTGCTGACACAGGATCTGGAACCTACTCGTGTACCTGTAATGAAGGATACACTGGGGATGGAAAAACTTGCGAAGGTAAATACATTTATTTATGATTCTTGTTTCTAACACACGGAAACAATTCTTTTTTCGGTAACACGTTTATTTCCCTAACTTTCTTCAATTCTCAAAATCCAATTCATTATACTGCGCGTTTTCTTTAAGAAATCAAAATATGTGGTACACTACAAGAATTTCGATAAACAGAATTTTTTCAATATAGATGCTTAGAATGCCTTATTTTGTTTGCTGATCACATCGAAAAAGAACCATCCTTTTTGCATGATAAATTATCAATCAAAGAATTTTCAAATTTTTTCATGTCAGCCACTCCTGCATGAAGACGTGGAATCAACGCGAAACGTCACCATAATTTTTCAACTAATATTATATGACTCTATTAAAACAATTTGTTGGGCATTAATCTTTGTATTAAAATCTCGTACATGGTTTTTTAATCTCCATGTGACGAGCAAACTAATGTGATTGCCTAAGGAATTAAAAAGAACTCCTGTCTGATTCGATTTTCAGAACTACCAACTGTAACTTGCAAACCAAAAACAGACGTCATCTTGGTACTGGACAGATCTGGTAGTATTTCACCATCGGATTACGACAAAATGCGGGAATTTGTTAAAGAAATAGGAAAAGAATTGAAAGTCGGCGAAAGAAATGAAAAAGGAGAAATCATCGGACAAGCTGCCATTGTTACCTTTAGTGAAGAAGGAGAGAAAAGATTAACGTTAGCAGAAAGCCAAGATTCAAAGAAATTCTATGACACAGTAACTAACATGCCTGGACCTTTACTGCGCGGCCGAACAAAAACACATCGTGGCTTAAAAATTGCAGATGAAGAAATTGCTATTAAAGAAGCTGGGTATCGGGAGGATGATCCAGATGTTCAGAAATTGTTAATGGTTATCACAGATGGGGAACAAACTAAAGAATCAGTTCGAAGAGGATACGTTTATGTTGGGGATGCAATGAAACCTTTCTTCAATAGAAATATGAATGTCTTTGCGATTGGCGTTGGTTTAGAGAAAAAGGAAGCAATTGACGAAGTAAAAGATATGGTTGAGATTCCAGAAAATGCCATACTACCTGCTAACTTTAGTGATCTACTTCACAGAGTGGAAAATATTATCAAGAAGTTCTGTCCTGGTAGGTTTTGAAAGATTTCAGATACATCCAAAAGAAAGTGTTTGCACTGTTGTGTAAACCATCTTGTTTCTATAATACGTAAGTGCCTTGTTCTTAAGCAACCAGAATCCGATCTTTTCACTTGTTTTACTTTTGTTACTCAGAATTGCCAATATGTGGAACACCGCAAGATGACTGCAGCGAATTTGCTACATGTGGTGACACAGGTCCTGGAACCTACAGTTGTACCTGTAATGAAGGGTATACCGGAGATGGAAAAACTTGCGAAGGTTAGAACAAATGTTTCAAGTACTTGTTGCAGCAAGTTGCCCCTTACTCGTATTTTTACTACATCCAAGCTATCTTTTCTCTACCTGAGATTATACCACGTGTAATTATACTACGTGTATTATTAAGAAATTAAAATATGTGGAACACCACAAGAAGACTGCAGTGAATTTGCTACATGTGCTAACACAGGACCTGGAAGTTACTCGTGTACCTGTAATGAAGGATACACTGGTGATGGAAAAACATGCGAAGGTAAAAACAATTTAAAATATCCGCTGTACCCAGTTGCTCATAACACCCGTTTTTACCATACACAAGCTATTTTATTTTCTAACGTGTTCACTTTTCTAATTTTGCTCATTTCAAAGTTCAATTCATTATACTAAGTCTTCTCTTTCAGAAATCAAAATATGTGGAACACCACAAGACGACTGCAGTGAATTTGCTACATGTGCTGACACAGGACCTGGAACCTACACGTGTACCTGTAATGAAGGATACACTGGGGATGGAAAAACTTGCGAAGGTAAATACATTTATTCATGACTCTTTTTCCTACACGTGTACCTGTAATGAAGGATACACTGGTGATGGAAAAACTTGCGAAGGTAAGAACAGTTTAAAATTTCCGCTGTACCGAGTTGCTGCCAACACCTGTTTTTACCATACACAAGCTATCTTATTTTCTTACGCGTTCACTATTCTAACTTTGTTATTTTTCAAAGTCCAATAATTCATTATACTACGTGTATTATTAAGAAATCAAAATATGTGGAACACCACAAGAAGACTGCAGTGAATTTGCTACATGCGCTGACATAGGACCTGGAACCTACACGTGTACCTGTAATGAAGGATACACTGGTGATGGAAAAACTTGCGAAGGTAAGAACAGTTTAAAATTTCCGCTGTACCGAGTTGCTGCCAACACCTGTTTTTACCATACACAAGCTATCTTATTTTCTTACGCGTTCACTATTCTAACTTTGTTATTTTTTCAAAGTCCAATAATTCATTATACTACGTGTATTATTAAGAAATCAAAATATGTGGAACACCACAAGAAGACTGCAGTGAATATGCTACATGTGCTGACACAGGTCCTGGAACCTACAGTTGTACCTGTAATGAAGGATATACCGGAGATGGAAAAACTTGCGAAGGTGAGAACAAATATTTCAAGTATCTGTTGCACCAAGTTGCCCCTCACTCGTATTTTTACTACATCCAAGCTATCTTTTCCCTATCTGAGATTATACTACATGTAATTATACTACGTGTATTATTAAGAAATTAAAATATGTGGAACACCACAAGAAGACTGCAGTGAATATGCTACATGTGCTGACACAGGACCTGGAACCTACTCGTGTACCTGTAATGAAAGATACACTGGTGATGGAAAAACATGCGAAGGTTAGAACAATTTAAAATATCCGTTGTACCGAGTTGCTGCTAACACCCGTTTTTACCATACACAAGCTATCTTATTTTCTAACGTGTTCACTTTTCTAACTTTGCTCATTTTCAAAGTTCAATTCATTATACTAAGTCTTCTCTTTCAGAAATCAAAATATGTGGAACACCACAAGACGACTGTAGTGAATTTGCTACATGTGCTGACATAGGACCTGGAACCTACGTGTGTAGCTGTAATGAAGGATACACTGGTGATGGAAAAACGTGCGAAGGTAAAACGTTGATAAGTAGTATGATTATCGGCTTAATTTACAAGTTCTGAATGAAAACTTCATGTCATATTTAACGTGGTGAGATAATTGAACGGCGGACCAGAGAAAAATCCTGATTTTCGTCAAATTTTTTAAATTTCAAAATTCGCTTCAAAATACCGTGAAATGGTCGAGAACTAAGTAGAATTGCATTCTTTCATGAAACAAGGGCATTTGAACACAAAAAAACATATTTTGGTGAATTCCAAAATTTTAGGAAAATCGGTAACGCAGGATCAAAGAAAAAATCCTGATTTTCGTCGATTTTTGAAATTTCAAAATTCGGTTCAAAATACCTCGAAATGATTGAGAACTAAGTAGAATTGCATTCTTTCATGAAACAAAAACATTTGAACTAAAAAAATCGTACTTTCGTGAATTTCAAAATTTTAGGCAAATCGGTAACGGGGGACCAAAGGAAAAATCCTGATTTTCGTTAATTTTTTGAAATTTCAAAATTTGGTTCAAAATACCTCGAAATGGTTGAGAACTAAGTAGAATTGCGTTCTTCCATGAAACGAGAACATTTGAACACAAAATATAATACTTTGATGAATTTCAAAATTCTAGGCAATTTGGTAACGGGCGACCAAAGGAAAAGTCCTCATTTTCGTCAATTTTTTTGAAATTTCAAAATTCGGTTCAAAATACCTCGAAATGGTTGAGACATCAGTAGAATTGCATTTTTTCATGAAACAAAGACATCTGAAGACAAAAAATCATACTTTGGTGAAGTTCAAAATTTTTGGCAAATCGGTAACGGGGGACTAAAGGAAAAATCCTAACTTTCGTCAATTTTTTGAAATTTGAAAACTCGGTTCAAAATACCTCGAAATGGTTGAGACTTAAGTAAAATTGCATTCTTTCATGAAACGAGTACATTTGAACACAAAATATCATACCTTGATGAATTTCAAAATTTTGGGCAAATCGGTAACGGGGGACCAAAAGGGAAAATCCTAATTTTCGTCAATTTTTTGAAATTTCAAAATTCGGTTCAAAATACCTCGAAATGCATGGTTAAGAACTAAGTAGAATTGCATTCTTTCATGAAACAAAAACATTTGAACACCAAAAATAATACTTTGGTTAATCTCAAAATTTTAGGCAAATCGGTAACGGGGGACCAAAGGAAAAATATTGATTTTCGTCAGTTTTTTAAAATTTCAAAATTCGGTTCAAATACCTGGAAATGGTTGAGAACTAAATAGAATTGCATTCTTTCATGAAACAAAAACATTTGAGCACAAAAAAGCATACTTTGCTTAATTTTGATGTTCATCTTTTATGTGTCATTTCAACTTCTTTGCTTAATTTATATTTGATATTGTGTGAATTTTATTGAATTTATCACGTTTCATTGGTGTGCCTCTAGAAGCAGGTATTTGCGGAACACCACAAGAAGACTGCAGTGAATTTGCTACATGCGCTGACACAGGACCTGGAACCTACACTTGTACCTGTAATGAAGGATACACTGGCGATGGAAAAACTTGCGAAGGTAAGAAACTGAAATTTTTGTCGCGTTCTCACAGCATTGATACAGTTAGGCAGATAACTAACTTCCTTCATTCTTCAAGTTTTTTTTTAATAGTTTAATCCTATCATTATATTTAACTCGATCAATCTTACTGGATGTAAAAGTATAACTTATTCGTTGCTGTGTTTTTCTTATGAAGAAATAAAGATATGTGGTACCGACAGAGATGATTGTAATGAGTATGCTGTATGTAAAGATACAAGCCCTGGCCAATATTCCTGTACTTGTATTCAAGGTTACACCGGAGATGGGAAGAATTGCGAAGGTACGAGTTTAATTGAACATTCCCGATTTCTTTGCCATTCGCTGGCACATAGCATTACTGACTACAATTAAACATCGGAAGAAAAATTCTGAAAGTACATGAATTCTGGGGTTCGTGGCTGTGCGTATCTTACTTAGTTTTCTCTAAGTTATTTGACAGTGAACAGCTGATATGATGATATAACTAGTAACTAGGGTACCCATAGGGTAGATAGTGCTGCCTATGAGTAAGCCATGCAATGAAAACATTAAACTTTTAGAAGAACAGAAATCACAACCAAAATTTTTTTACGTTCGAGAAGAGATTGGAAATATAAAATATAGTACAAAGTCCTTCGCCTCAGCTTATTATCATTATTTAAGGAAAATGACAAAAGCAATATTGTTCCAGAACAGAAATGTCTTACGAAACCTATCAATAAATTGTTTTTCATGAAGCGGAGCCCCCACAGAACTTAAATTTGTCAATTATGTTTTTAAATCGCTCGATATAGTTATTAAAACGTTATGAAAATGTTGTTTCTGTTAAGTGCAGTTCTTCCGTGTCAATCATCTTTTGCTGTAACGGATACGACGAATCTAATGAGATACAAAAACACACATGAAATAAACTTTTGATGATCTAGTGAGTGTCTTAACAAGACACAAAAACGAGGCGCAAATACAGCAACAACACAGAAGAGTCAGCAACTGATGACAGATGACTGACAAAAATTCAAAAATCAATGCATTCAATTACTGATGCAACTGAGAACAAAGACTCGATTATATAACAAGAGTTGCAGCCTCACCTTCGGACTAAAATATCAACCTGGAAAGTATAAATGAACAGTTAATAAACACCGCGCGCTAAACAAACAAAACAGACGCCATTTTTTATGATATATTCAATGATCGCTCAAATAAATGCACTATCCTAGTATCCTAGTAATAAGTCATAATTCGGCATAAAAGGCTAAAAGCCTATAGTGAAGTATATCGTTTAACAATATGAATGAAATATCGAATAAATAGGAACTCGACAGTAAAAAACTCACCAAAATACCTTATACCTCTAATACTTCACAGTACAATAATATGTAGCCAAAACGTAGAATTACGTGAATTTCACCTTCTGTCTAAAATATCAACTTATAAAATATAAAAGAACAGTTAAATATGAATAAAACATTGAATAAATATGAATTTGATTACAAAAAACTCACCGAAATAGTTTTCCTTCTTCGAAATAAATTCGCCAAAGTTTATGCAGCCAACACGTGGAATGGTATAACCTGACACCGAACTTCAACATGCAATGCGTCAAAAATTTTCACCGCAGGTGACAAGAGTATTATGTTTCGTTTATATCGAAAATCTACTGGCACCCGAATACGCTAATACAATGTTCTAAAGCACGTTTTCACTTTTATTCACAATATAAATTAACATACCATACACGTGGTATCACGCACCGCACCGCGCAAGGTAAAAATCGTAGCCCTAACCTCCCCAAAATACATGAAAGAATTTCACGAACGTGTAACGATAAGGTCGTCAAATTGCTGTTCGCCTGCTAAAATACAAAAGAAATATCCTACATTGTGTTCAGGTGAATGTTAATTATTTCTCTCTTACGCTACATAACATATGCTCTCAGCGTGTCAACTATGGCCGGAACTTAAATTCAGCCACCCCCAAAATAAAATATGTTCCTCCATCCCTGCCACTGGTACCGTCATGCAATGCGCCAAAGACAAATTTTGATTTGCGCCCCCATTTCTAAATTAGGATCTGCTGCCTTGCTCGCTCGCTTCAGGCTCGCTCGCTGCGGCAGCAATTATATAAGTTATATGAACATAATTTTTCTGTCGATCTCTCAGAAAGATCCTGATGCACGCTGAATACGGTCCAATCAGGATCGAAACTAGATGCAAAAATGGGGGAAGGTGCGTTGTCAATAGAAATCCGTCGGGCTGGAACAGAATATATGGACATTCACCCTCCCCCTAATTACCACCCTTGTTCCTCAGTCCAATGCTAAATGCTTTAACTTAATGTCTTTTATATTACAGGCCCTCCAATATTCGGTCCTGTCTTGTTTGAAGTCACTCCGGAAAGTCCCTCAACTATAAGTGCAGCGTGGCGACCACCAGCCGAAATCATTGAAATTATCGACTACTCAGTCTGCTACAAAGATATCAATAACGGAGAGGAAGCGTGCATTACTACAAAACCTACTACCCCAGACGGCCCTGTTGAGATTGAATTCACGGATCTAAATGAAGACACAACCTACGAGGTGGTTGTGAGGGCAAGAAACGAAACTGGTTTTGGTCCACCATCAAATATTATGAATGTGAAAACAAAAGCCTTAGGTCAGTATTTTCTTACTGTTTCTTCTTGTAAAGTTATTGTCAGATATTGATTGCCAAGAGGATCTTAAAAATCGCATTTAGATGACATCGATGATGTTTGGTTTAAATTCATTTTTACTGTAGCCATTGCTTTAATTTAATTTTTACGATTTGCGTGTTTTTTAAGATATCGAAAAATGCGATAAAAAGACAGATACCATTTTCGTCGTGGATAGATCAGCGAAAATCAGTGAACGGGCTTATAATAAGATTCGGGCATTTATACTCGGTGTTCAAAAACGGCTTCGAATTGGTGTAAAGGACGAAAAGAAAGAAATAATCGGACAAGGTGCTATAGTGACATTCAGTAATGAAGGTCAAAAGATTATTACTCTAAGAGAGAGCAGAACTCCAGGAAGATTTGCTAAGGCTGTGAGATCCATGCCCGGTCCATTATCTGGTGGAACGACTAAAACTCATCGTGGTCTGAAAGTTGCTTATGGTCAAGTAGCTGTAGTGAGCGAAGGCTTACGTGCTCATGATGACAGCGTTCACAAAGTGGTTGTAGTGATCACCAACGGTCAGCAGACACGTGAAAAGAATGGTTATGTATATGTTGGCGATGCAGTAAGACCGTTTTTCAAACGTGGCATAGATGTTATTACAATTGGTATTGAAATGGAAAATGCAAGAGATCAACTTAACGATATGGTCCGAATACCTGAAAATGCTTTCTTAGTGAATCACCACAGTAATCTGAGTTCTGTTATGAAGAACGTAGTATCACGAATCTGCCCAAGTAAGTTATGCTTTGTTACTTCTAACAATAAACACATTCTTTTGTTGTAAGTCTAAAAGTTCCTTATAGATTGTATAAAGATGGTTGTGTGGCGAATAGCCATCTACCTCGCAATGTCAATCATGAACGCGAGACAAACCATAATAGAAATATCAGTTTTAATAACACATCGTAAATTAACTACTCAAAGTGCGTTAATCTGGTCCTTCATAGTGGCAGCAACTTGAAATAATAAATTCTCAAGCCTGAGCCGATATATATTCTTAGCTGCATGTATTTTGCCTCATTCTTAATCCAATCTCCTATGTTTCGTCTTGCCTTTGCATCTTAAAGTAGAGACCTATCTTCCATTGTACGATTAACACCATACCTTTTCTCCAGAAACCAAGATATGTGGTACACCTCAGGATGATTGTCACAGATTTGCTACCTGCTTCGACACCGCCCCTGGAGAGTATAAGTGTATCTGTCGCGAAGGATATTTTGGAAATGGAAAAGAATGCGCAGGTAATTAAACTTTTAATCAAATATTCACCTGTCGTTAAAGACCTCGTTACCACGTTGGGCAGTTTGACAAGCTACAAGTTGCGTTCGCACGAATACAATCCTCGTTTGTCCTGAACCCAGTAACCAGTAATTGGTAACTCTATAACGTGGACAAACATGACAAAAAGTGAGGTCATTGGGTCAGTGTAATAATCTATCCTCTTGTGTAATAATCTATCCTCTTGTGTAATAATCTATCCTTTTGTGTAATAATCTATCCTCTTGTGTAATAATCTATCCTCTGGTGTAATAATTGTGTCCTATTTGTATACAACTTGTATACCTTTGTTTTCTTTTTATAGAGAAAAAATGTAAATTCGATATCGGATTCCTTATTGATTCATCGTCAAGCATGCGTCATTGTAACTACGACAAGCAAAAGGATTTGGTGAAGCATATTGCAGAACAGTTCCAAGTAGAGCCAGATAAGAGCCACGCTAGTGTTATCGTATATAGTGACAACGCCGCCATGTACAAAAAATTCAATGCGTTTAAAGAACTAAATGATTTCAAGATGCTTGTGAATGAACTACCCATGGTTGAAGGAGCGACACACTTGGATAAAGCTCTCCAAACGGCTGCATCACAAATGTTCACTGCTAGGAATGGCATGAGAGATTCTACGGTACCAAAATTACTGTTTCTGTTAACAGACGGCGCGCAATCGGCGACGTCAATTACTACACCTTTGCAAGAAATAGCCTCTTCGTTACATAAACAGAATATTAGAATTATTGTGATTGGAGAAGGCGAGGCTGACGAGCAGCAGTTACAGCCACTTGTACAATCCACTGCTGACTTATTGATAGTCAAAGAATTTAATGAAGCTACCGAAAAAATAACTAACTTTGCAGAAAACATGTGTTCAGGTGAGTTAATTTATTCATAGTTCGAGAAATACTACCTATTTGAATATGGAACGGACCATCTCAGCGTATAGATATATTTACTCTATTACTCAGTTGAGCAATAAATAAGACATGTATTTCTTATGTAGTCGGCCACTGTTCCCATATGGAAAAAAGGGTTCCGGTCAGGATTGATCAATGTGTAAGCTCAAAACCAATAAAGATCGGTAAGTTTAGTCTTATACAAGTGTGTTGCATACGCTCGACGCTCAAATGCAGTGATATAACAAAGCAAAAAAAGCTGGGTATAGTCGTAAGCGTCGTTCTTGCAATAAAACTGTACTCCGCTTGTGTGTCGTTTAATTATATTGCAATACGAATACCTAAGCTAGCTGCTGTATAAATGGAAAACACTAAAAATAGGTGAGTATATTAAAAATATGTCTCTTTCCTTACAGGTTCGTGTATGGGCAAGTGTGCAAGTGGTCCTAACTTCCGACAAACACAAGGTATTTTCAAAATGGACTGCCAGACATGTAAACCTGGTGGGTATGCAATAAAAACAGTGATCTTAACCTGCCCCGGAAACAAGAAAAGACCCTTCCAAATCAAAGAACCAACGTCATGTATTTGTGAAAAGTGTCCATGGAGAAAAATTTTATAACAAGAATTTTAGAATACAGATTTACAGGTTATACCATCAGCTATAGCTTGTATACTTATTCTAGAATAAGGAATGATATACTTTACTGAAGTAAATACTGCTACATATATGTGTTAAAGAGAAGACGGTTTGTGTCTTTATGATATTAGATATGGTTCTAACAAATAAATTTATAAAAATAGAACAACAAAGTTGGAGAAATGAAGGATAACTGGAAGATACATACTACCATATATAGTAAAGATTTTATGATATAAATTAATAAATATAAAAATAGTTATAGGTTTTCAATAGTATTGGGTTTTCAATAATTAATAACCATGCTTCACATTATTTTCAGTCACACGACAATTTGAGAAAAAAACCACGAAAAATTTCATCATTAACTATTAAAAAACCCTTCACCGTGATTGTGGGATTATTATACTCGTTTACTGCGATCAAATTGACAATGCATGTGTTATATACTAAACCTTCGGGTCATACCCACTGCGTTTCTTTTGTCTCTGTGTACTTCTTGTAACCTTAAACGAGGCGATGTGGGTTTTTATATAATAATATATATTATGTAATCGTGGTCAACGCACGATCCGCTGGCCTAGTAGTTAAGACTGCGGCCCTACCAGGTTGTAAGCGTAGGTTCGAATCCTGAATGGGAAAGGTTCGATTTTTCCTTTCGAAATTATTATTTAATTAATTTAAAATTCGTCGAAAACGATTAAACCAAATAAGAAAATGGATTTCGATAAATGATGTGGTGGTCGAGTGGTTAAGACATTGGTCTCTTAATCCCAGGATGCATGTTCCAAGCCGTAGCTTTAACCACTAGCTGGGTCACCGAAATAATATTTATATTCTAAGGTTGGTATCCACACGATCCATTCACGAAAATTTGACAGGGTGATTTTCTCGAGATTTTTTTCAAATTTTTGTAATTCTCTTAGATTTTTCTTTGACGCGGAAGTGTTTTGTCTTAGGCTATTGTCTCTGGCTTGACACAGGCAGGTAAGTAAACATAAGTTTTTTAAAAGCGAGAAAATTTAAATTTTTTTCTGACTTTTTAAATTTCGGTTTTTTTGCAAGACACATGCTTTTATATATATATATATATATATATATATATATATTAATATATATATATATATATATATATATATATATATATATTATATTGTAAGGTTGGGAAAAACATACGATCCGGCAGCCCAGTGGATAAGGCTACGGCCTACCAGGCTGTGCGCGTAGGTTCGAATCCTGCGTGGGAAAGGTTCGATTTTCCAACTGAAAAGTTACTATTTAATTTAAAATTCTTCGAAAAGGATTAGGTCAAATAGAGAACAATAGCTTTCGACAAATGACGCGGTGGTCTAGTGGTTAAGACGTTCGTCTCTCAATGCGAGGACAAACGTTTCAACTCCTAGCAATGAAACAAAATTAGCCTAAAAAATTTCGGTGTAATTTGAAATGTTTAAAACAGTTAAAGGACTTCTCGGCCTTTCCGAAAGACTGTAAATTGAAAAAAATTTGAAATAAAAAAACACAAAAAAATTATTGCGTTCAAAAGTACCTGAAAATTGAAAAAACGCACAAGTAAAATAAGTTTTAAAAACACATGTCTTCTAAAAAGCATGAAAATGAAGAAAGTCAGACGGAAAAAAAATTAACAATTTCCCGCTTTTAAAAAACTCATGTTTACTTACCTTAATTTTTTTTCACGAAAATTTGACAGGGTGATTTTCTCGAGACTGAAAAAATTTAATTTTTTTCACTTTTTTGAAATTCTCTTAAATTTTTTTTTGACGCGAAAGTATTTTGACTTGGGCTACCTGTGTCAAGCCAGACACAGGTAGCCCAAGACAGACAAAGGTAGCCCAAGACAAAATACTTTTTCTTTAAAAAAAAATTTAAGAGAATTTCAAAAAAGTGAAAAAAATTAAATTTTTTCAGTCTCGAGAAAATCACCCTGTCAAATTTTCGTGAAAAAAAATTAAGGTAAGTAAACATGAGTTTTTTAAAAGCGGGAAATTGTTAATTTTTTTTCCGCCTGACTTTCTTCATTTTCATGCTTTTTAGAAGACATGTGTTTTTAAAACTTATTTTACTTGTGCGTTTCTTTAAATTTTCAGGTACTTTTGAACACAATAATTTTTATTGTGTTTTTTTATTTCAAATTTTTTTCAATTTACAGTCTTCGGAAAGGCCGAGAAGTCTCTTAACTGTTTTAAACATTCCACATCACACCGAAAATTTTCAGGCTAATTTTTTTTCATTGCCAGGAGTTGAACCGTTTGTCCTCGGATTGAGAGACGAACGTCTTAACCACTAGACCACCGTGTCATTTGTCGATAGCTATTGTTCTTTATTTGACCTAATCCTTTTCGATGAATTTTAAATTAAGTAGTAATTTCGGTGGAAAAATCGAACCTTTCCCCATGCAGGATTCGAACCAACGCTTACAACCTGGTAGGCCGTAACTTTAACCACTGGGCCACCGAAATAACATATATATATTTTAAGGCTGCTATCAACATAATCCGATGGCCCAGTGGTTAAGGCTACGGCCTACCAGGTTTGTAAGGGTGGGTTCGAATCTTGCATGGGAAAGGTTCGATTTTTCCAACTTAAATTACTATTTAATTTAAAATTCATCGAAAAAGATTAGGTCAAATAGAGAACAATAGTTTTCGACAAATAACGCGGTGGTCTTGTGGTTAGGACGTTCGTCTCTCAATCCGAGGACAAACGTTTCAACTCCTGGCAATGAAACAAAATCAGCCTGAAAAATTTCGGTGTCATTTGGAATGTGTAAAACAGTTAAAAGACTTCTTGGCCTTACCAAAAGACTGTAAATTGAAAAAAAATTTGAAATAAAAACACAAAAAAAATTATTGCGTTCAAAAGTACCTGAAAATTGAAAGAAACGCACAAGTAAAATAAGTTTTAAAAACACATGTCTTCTAAAAAGCATGAAAATGAAGAAAGTCAGACGGAAAAAAAATTAACAATTTCCCGCTTTTAAAAAACTTATGTTTACTTACCTTAATTTTTTTTCACGAAAATTTGACAGGGTGATTTTCTCGAGACTGAAAAAATTTAATTTTTTTCACTTTTTTGAAATTCTCTTAGATTTTTTTTTTAAAGAAAAAGTATTTTGTCTTGGGCTACCTGTGTCAAGCCAGACACAGGTAGCCCAAGACAGACACAGGTAGCCCAAGACAAAATACTTTCGCGTCAAAAAAAAATCTAAGAGAATTTCAAAAAAGTGAAAAAAATTAAATTTTTTCAGTCTCGAGAAAATCACCCTGTCAAATTTTCGTGAAAAAAAATTAAGGTAAGTAAACATAAGTTTTTTAAAAGCGGGAAATTGTTAATTTTTTTTCCGTCTGACTTTCTTCATTTTCATGCTTTTTAGAAGACATGTGTTTTTAAAACTTATTTTACTTGTGCGTTTCTTTCAATTTTCAGGTACTTTTGAACGCAATAATTTTTTTTGTGTTTTTTTTTTCAAATTTTTTTTCAATTTACAGTCTTTTGGTAAGGCCGAGAAGTCTTTTAACTGTTTTACGCATTCCAAATGACACCGAAATTTTTCAGGCTGATTTTGTTTCATTGCCAGGAGTTGAAACGTTTGTCCTCGGATTGAGAGACGAACGTCCTAACCACAAGACCACCGCGTTATTTGTCGAAAACTATTGTTCTCTATTTGACCTAATCTTTTTCGATGAATTTTAAATTAAATAGTAATTTAAGTTGGAAAAATCGAACCTTTCCCATGCAGGATTCGAACCCACCCTTACAACCTGGTAGGCCGTAGCCTTAACCACTGGGCCATCGGATTATGTTGATAGCAGCCTTAAAATATATATATATGTTATTTCGGTGGCCCAGTGGTTAAAGTTACGGCCTACCAGGTTGTAAGCGTTGGTTCGAATCCTGCATGGGGAAAGGTTCGATTTTTCCACCGAAATTACTACTTAATTTAAAATTCATCGAAAAGGATTAGGTCAAATAAAGAACAATAGCTATCGACAATTGACACTGTGGTCTAGTGGTTAAGACGTTCGTCTCTCAATCCGAGGACAAACGGTTCAACTCCTGGCAATGAAAAAAAATTAGCCTGAAAATTTTCGGTGTGATGTGGAATGTTTAAAACAGTTAAGAGACTTCTCGGCCTTTCCGAAGACTGTAAATTGAAAAAAATTTGAAATAAAAAAACACAATAAAAATTATTGTGTTCAAAAGTACCTGAAAATTTAAAGAAACGCACAAGTAAAATAAGTTTTAAAAACACATGTCTTCTAAAAAGCATGAAAATGAAGAAAGTCAGACGGAAAAAAAATTAACAATTTCCCGCTTTTAAAAAACTCATGTTTACTTACCTTAATTTTTTTTCACGAAAATTTGACAGGGTGATTTTCTCGAGACTGAAAAAATTTAATTTTTTTCACTTTTTTGAAATTCTCTTAGATTTTTTATTTGATGCGAAAGTATTTTGTCTCGGGCTACTGTGTCTGTCTTGGGCCACCTGTGTCTGGCTTGACACAGGTAGCCCAAGACAAAATACTTTTTCTTTAAAAAAAAATCTAAGAGAATTTCAAAAAAGTGAAAAAAATTAAATTTTTTCAGTCTCGAGAAAATCACCCTGTCAAATTTTCGTGAAAAAAAATTAAGGTAAGTAAACATGAGTTTTTTAAAAGCGGGAAATTGTTAATTTTTTTTCCGTCTGACTTTCTTCATTTTCAGGCTTTTTACAAGACATGTGTTTTTAAAACTTATTTTACTTGTGCGTTTCTTTCAATTTTCAGGTACTTTTGAACGCAATAATTTTTTTTGTGTTTTTTCATTTCAAATTTTTTTCAATTTACCGTCTTTCGAAAAGGCCGAGAAGTCTTTTAACTGTTTTAAACATTCCAAATCACACCGAAATTTTTCAGGCTAATTTTGTTTCATTGCCAGGGGTTGAACCGTTTGTCCTCGGATTGAGAGACGAACGTCTTAACCACTAGACCACCGCGTCATTTGTCGAAAGCTATTGTTCTCTATTTGACCTAATCCTTTTCGATGAATTTCAAATTAAATAGTAATTTCGGTAGGAAAAATCGAACCTTTTCCAAGCAGGATTCGAACCTACCCTTACAACCATATAGGCCGTAGCCTTAACCACTGGGCTGCCGCAATATCATATATATTAAGGCTGTTATAAACATACAATCCAATGGCCCAAAAATTTTTGACATATATATTAGTGTTTTTCACTAATATAAATTT